GCTCTGGCCTTCCTTATGGATGGTTAAGGAGGATTTTTAATATATTTCTGTTTACTATATTTTAATTCCTTCTAGATGGCAAAAATACCAACATCTATGGGCATTCGACAAGCAACTATCCTGTGAGAAATACATTCAGAAACACGAACAAATATTCAAATACGATGAGAAGTTCTTCTTCTTTGAGGACATAATTCATGATCTCGATTCCCATGTGAAATTTGTTGATGTCGGCGCAATCAGAGTGAACCTTAGACCTATTATAAGCCAGGTGCAAGGCCACGCGCAAGAGTGGAAGACCATATTGGGAAATTGTATCGCTTCCAAAACTAGAATGAATATGTACGATTTGAAGAATCAGATTGAGGTAAACGGTGTATATTATATTGAAACAAATAAGAAAAGATTTTAAAAAAGAGAAACGTTACAGCCAGCAAATCAAGTAACGTAAAAATTTTACATGGAAACCCATACGCCACATGCCATACGTCAAAATCTTTATTAGTTCATGTTTTCTTTGGTTTGATTGGATAATTGCGCCTCCTAGTGTTGTGAGAATAACAAAAATTGTAATTACGCCCTCAAATACCACCATGGTTTTCTTGTTCACAGACTCTACATGGTGATAAGTCAAACGGACAAAAAATCTATAATTATTTTCAAATATCCTTATTAGCAATGAAGAAGTATTTAAAAAAAAGAACTAAAAAGCTCTCTTAATGGCGACTCTAGCAAAATTTGTTTTTGCAGGAAACGAATGGACCAAAGATAGTCATTTCCGTTGCTTTTAACAAACATATTAAAAACTGAAATTTGCCAAGTTCGAAACTTAGATATCAATACAAATACGAAAAAGTATAAATAGAATATGAGTTATTTATTGAGTTTTGAAAATCAATTTTATACATGAAAGAAAACCGGAAAGGTTGTCATGGAGAAATCAAGAAAGTAGCGTAGCGACATCTAGTTTTTTTTTAAATACTTCCTCATTGAGATGTTTGATTTAATACTAGTATGTTTAAAATTCATATGTAAATTTATGAATGCAATTAAAATATGTTGTTCATTTTACACTTTCGATGTTCAAATATTTTTCACAGCAATATGAACTAAAATCATTTATTAATCTGTCATATTCGTGCTAAAACGTATACTATAAAAGAATACTTTAGAAAAAATGTTCTATATGGTTGAGTTTTTAAGTTGTTTTCTGTAAAATAAATATTCATGAAGAAGCACGGTTATCTAAAATGTATCAACTTGTGTTAGGTTTGTTCAACACAACAGCAAACATTATGGAATGTGGATCAAGTTATGCATTTGCACTTAGTAATGGTGTTCGAAATATTACGAGAGCGAACTGTGCGGGAAGTGTTGCCTGCCATAGAGAGGAATATCGATGGATGATGTTTGATATATATTACCAATAATCAGATTTTTAATTTTTAAGGTGCTTATCTGACAGCTGTTGCAGTTTTTATTTGAAATTATTCTTCGATGTCTGTTGACAGTCCCTTCGTATGACAGTGAACATGAACATAAAAGGCTTGGAGGACTTTAAGCTGGTTATGGCAACTATCACTCAGGTCCAAGCGATGACCATCACCGCTGAAGTGAAATATCGCGGCATGCAAGAGATATTCCATATGTTAAAGCAACATGGAATCGACGTGAGTTCACATAGATTTATCAAATGCAGACTTAACAAAAAAAATTCCGAAATTGGAATGTTAATCTTAAAGCTCGAGGTTTAAAGTTAAAATGTTGAGTCGTCACCGTTCGACATCTTTATATTTATGATAAGTTTTCGATTGATTCATGACAATTTGATTCGACAAGAAAGCGGAAACATAGTCGTAATATAGTTCGGTTACGGGCACGATGGGCACGCCTATAACATTAATATAATTATGACGTCACATTTTATAGTCTAATAGAGGTTGATTGTCCACTAAGAATTATAGACTGTACAAAGTCTTGATCAACACATCATATATTTTGGTTATCTCCTTTACAGGAATGTACTATTTTAAGTGTGATAGTGACCCACAATTTTTTAGGTCTGGATCTCCTACTATATAAACTTACATATGTTAAGCAAAATAAGTGGTTTTTGCTACCTTAGGTAACTAACGAAGATATTGAATTCGCCAAAAGCTTGGAAGCTTCGTGGGGTAGTCTGTACCAGACGTCACTGTTTCGTGGCAACACACTGGAACAGACAAAGGAGAAGTTCTCTAAACTTAATGTGGTGGAAATATCCAAATTCCTGCAGGAGCTAGATGACTTTGTCGAGAAATTTGACAGCGAAGGACCTGCCACTGTCGGAGATGATATGGACAGAGGATTAGTATTAATGGAGGTAAGTTTAGTTATATTTAGAAAATGAGGTATTAATAACGCTCTGCAATTTGAGAAATCGATATGCTCTTGTAGAAGTTACTGACCAATAATAAATAATAACTCGATGCACATTACTCCTAGTCCCAAATTCTAAATTTAAGCCCTATTTTTCTGAAAAAGTGAAACAACAAAGGTCTACCATAACACAACATCCAGACCAGAGACAATATTGAAGAGTTAATATTCTTCATAAAAGAGTCAAAGAAGAATGTTACCTATTCCAATCCGATCATCTTATTAACAATAAATTTATTTAATTTTATATTTTTTTTCAAAGGAGTATGGTAAATATTTTGATGAGCTCGAATCTCGCAAAAAAATGCTGCAAGCAGCGGAGCAATTGTTTGACAATCCTCTTGCCGACTTCTCGAACTTTAACCGCGCAAAGACAGACTTCCAAGCTATGGACCAAGTATACAAGATATACAAAGCCCAGAAGAACGCCAGAGAACTGTGGGCTAAGACGCTTTGGGTCAACCTGAACCCTCAAGCCTTAGTCGATGGCATCGAACAATTCTTTAAAGAGTTTAGGTAAATCAACAAAGACAATGAAAATTTAATTTTATATATTTAATAATAGCCACTTGTCTTAACATGGGAAAGCTCCTTCTATCAACATGATTTTTCATATATCATTAGATAATAAAATTGAAATCTGTGATATATCTTGCATGATTTTTTGCGAACTATTCTCCAGATCCATTGATCATATCAGAAGCGAAAGATCAAAGATCCTCACGTGATCAACAGATGATGTGATCAATGAATGGGCTATGTGAGTGTGGACGAGGTAAAAAATCGATATATTTCAGAAAACTACCGAAAGCCGTCCGTTTGACGACCACTGGCCTGATGTTGGACTTGAAAATGAAACAATTCAAAGGCGTGGTTCCGCTTATGGTGTCACTCAAGAATGAAGCGATGCGTGAACGCCATTGGAAGGAACTCATGGCAAAGACGGGTATAATATTTCTCAATTTTGCCTTATTAGAACATAAAATAAATGAAATGCTGAACTGCGTCGATTTCTCTCTAGAACTTTACTTGTCAATGAATACACATTGTTTCAAAAAAATTTATTATCATTTATGTTTTCTTTGAAATTATAGGTCAGGACTTCGACATGTCGCCGGAAAGATTTACCTTAGAGAACATGTTCGCTATGGAGTTGCATAAATATTTGGACGTGGCCGAAGAAATAGTTAACCATGCTATCAAAGTATGCTTTATTTCCCTTTTGATAATACTGCTTTTAGATAATTATCCCATACATAGTTGAGCTTGCACATTTTTTGCGTAACTGTATTTGATTTACAGTCTTATTGCTATTAAATTTTGCAATAACGATTGCATTTTCTTATGTATTTAGGAACTAGCAATCGAAAGAGGCGTCAAAGATGTACAGGAGACTTGGGCAAATATATCCTTCACTGTAGCTCGACATTTTAATCGCGGAGAAGATCGTGGCTACACGCTCAATCCGTGTGACGAAATCGTTGTTAAGTTGGATGACGACGCTATGTCCCTACAAAGCATGGCTGCCTCGCAGTAAGTTTAAACTTTATTATTTACTTCACTTATATAAACTCTTTAATGTTCATCAAAAAAGTACATTATATCTGGGAACACGGTTGTGGCTCGCCAAGAGAAGCATAAATAAGCGCGAAAGTACTACTCGCAATATTTGGTCTAGTTTCGAAAAATTAATACAAAGAAATGCAGTTTTCGATGCAACAGATAATTTATGATGCAACAGAGGACACTGCCTCTGATGCACATACAATCTTCGCGGATATGATTTTAATAAAATTATAAGAACGATTCGAAATTTCCGAATTTTCATTCGAGACTAAATACAATAGGTATCATGTTAATTCGATGTAGTTATACTTACCTTTTCTCGAGCGCTTCGTTGTTTTTGATTTGGTTTGATTTGATTTGGATTATACCAAATAAATACATTTTAGTTTCATTTCCATATTTTTTCAGGTTCATAGGTCCATTTTTATCAGTGGTACATACTTGGGATCGTCGGTTAGCTTTGATATCAGAGGTGATAGAAGAATGGATGGCGACGCAGCGCAAATGGTTGTATTTAGAGGGAATCTTCGTAGGCGGCGATATACGGGTGCAATTGCCTGAAGAAGCTAAGAAATTTGACGATATCGATAAGTCTTTCAGAAAGGTGAATATTACTAAATATAACAATAAAATCGCCAGTATAATAAGTATACGGTAGTAGTACTTACCAAGATTTTAATGCTGTGAAATAATTATAAAGTAATTAATTTTGTTTTTTTTTTTCTGCACAAAATAACAATTTTTATGTAATAATTTGATCAATTATGCATTTATAATGCTATACTGTAAAATAATGTTAATGAAAATGGACCTGGGTAGCTCTGTGGTTGAAGCAGTCGCCCGGATTGCGAAAGGTCGTGGGTTCGAATACCATGTCAGATTGCCAGAGATAAAGTGGATTTTTAAGAATATTTCATTGAGTAAAATTTTTATTCCTTAAAATTACAGATTAAGTCAAACCCATAATAATTAAATATTAATAAATATAGTTTCACGTAACAATTTGTCACCAGATCATGTTGGACACAGCGAAACGTTTGAATGTAGTTGACTGCTGCACTATAAGTGGCCGTTTAGAAGAATTTGTCAACCTTGGTATTGGTCTCCAAAAGTAAGTTACTATTGTCATCAATAAGCAAATAATTTTTAACATAGACGATTAGGAGTAATGACCAGTATTGTAGCCTAAGCACAACAAATCATCGAGTGCCAATCAAATTCGTATGAAGCAGAAATGTATTTTAACCATAATACTGTACGATTATCAATACAAAAACAGCTATTTGCTTGTTTGAAATACATTTGGTTTTCGTAATAATCTCATTTCAGGTGCCAGAAATCACTTAACGATTACTTAGATTCCAAACGACGTATATTTCCAAGATTTTTCTTCATATCGACTGATGAGTTGCTATCAATTCTTGGTAGTAGCGAATGTAGTTGTGTACAGGAGCATATGATCAAGGTATTATGTTACTAAGAAACGGTATCTAAAAAGAAAAAATGCAACTCGCGTGCTTACTTATCTGTATGTCCGTTCGTTTGTCTGTCACAGTTAATTTGCACTGTAATTACTAGTCTATTGTATTAAAATTTGATACAAATTGGTTCAGTGACTCACATATGCAAAATATAAAATGTTCGAAGTCTTAAGTTTTTTTTTTTTTTTGTAAAATAGTTCGACTCTTATTTGATCAATCTAAGTAAAAATAAACATTTCTTTTTGACAACTGCTTTCAAATTTAGTTGCCAATGCGGCCGAAAACAATTCGTTCCACTTATTTAGCTTCCATATTTTTTTTATTTATGGTAATGTGTCATATTTTTTTTTTTATTAAAATATAAATTTGTTATGGAAATGTTACAGATGTTCGATAATATAAGATCTCTAGATTTATATGTAGATCATACCAATAGACCAGTTGCTGCCAAAATGATATCAGCTGAAGGAGAGGTACTTACTTTAATCGTATCGTATCGTTAATAGTATATTACTAGAACTTTTATTTATTCTCATATAATAACTAATAAGACTAAAACAGTAATTTTCTTCAGATAATGGAGTTTAGACGCGTTGTATACACCGAAGGAAGAGTGGAAGACTGGATGAATTTAGTGCTTATTGAAATGCGTAACACTAACAAATTTATTACAAAGAAAGCTATATTTTACTATGGGAGGAACTGGAAAGTGCCTAGGTATATTTTATTTATTGGTATCTTTTTAAAAAGAATCTATCTTCTTGTGTATTTAAATAGAGAAAAAATATTCATCATCATCATCATCAGCCCTTTTACGTCCCCACTGCAGCGACTCCGGCCTTCCTTATGGATGGTTAAGGAGGATGGACCCTCCACGCTGGCCCAATGCGGATTGGATACCCTCCAATGACTGCAAATGCAGTATAAAAAATATTATTTATCACATAATCTTACTGAAAGCCCTTTCGAATAATCCAAAGTTTTACATTCAAGACATATTTGTTTAATTATTATATTTGATCAATTTTGCATTAACAATGTTATACTAATATAGTCATAATGAAAAATGCTTAAAAAACCCACTTTGCCCCTGGCACTCTGAGATAAGACTCGAACCCATGAACCATTCGCAATCCGGGCGACTGACTTAATGGACTGACGAAATTTTCAAGCACTTGATACTTTTTCACTACAACAGACCGTATATTTATTAATGTTCAGGCAATTCTCCCAAACAGCCGAAAGAAATATTTTTACAAATATTTAAACCTTCGATAAAGATGATAATTAGTTCTAATTATATTTGATCAATTTTGCACTCACAATGTCATACTGAAAAATATTCTTAATGAAAAATGCTTAAACCATACCCTTTGTCTCTGTCACCCTGAGATGGGACTCGAACCCATAATCTTTCGCAATCCGGGCAAGAATAGCTCCAGAAACTTATCAGTTTCTTGGACAGATATAAGCTTTTTAATAGCACATCAGGATCAAATAATGTCGTGAGATTTTTTCGATATTTTGAGTAGAAAAATCATTAAAACTATTCGGTTTTTAATTTCACTTACCATTATTTTTAGTCTACCATTATCTATTTACCTAAAATTTAAGATTTGATTACTTACGCAAAAAAGCTTTTTACGATCCCTATTTTTTGGTATTCTAAAGGAGTCTAAACTTTTTATACTAGTTTTATGACTCTATGTCGTTTTCGTCTTCCAAATGTTTACGGTATTTGGTTTTCATTTACTTATTCGCTGAAATAGATTGTTAGATAACATATCACTTCGCCCTAACTAATTTTTTCTATCAAAATTAATAATAATTCTTCAATTTACAATTCCAATTAGGACTGATTGGATCTTAGACTATATTGGCATGGTATGTTTGGCTGCTAACGGCGTTTGGTGGACGGCCGAGACGGAAGAAACTTTTATTAGAATCAGGAAAGGGAATAAACGGGCCATGAAGGAACACTTGCAGCAGCAGAATGAACAGCTAGATGGACTGGTTGTAAAAGTAAGACAAGGTAAACGAGACTACGCTGCATTCGGCAAATATCACTGAATATCCATAAAGAATGTTTAGGGATTATTTAGTTTCATATTTTTTAATAAATAGAGTTTTACAACAACAGGACAATAGATTTACTTTTCCGTTGGTTGCGAACAAGTACTATCACCGTAGAAGTAAAAAAACAGCAGAAGTAAAAAATAATAAAGTAAAAAAATACTATTGAACTTATTGAATTTTATCAAAATCACCCAATTACTAGATATAATATTTGGGGTTGATTTTTCATTTTATATATACTTAGATAAATTTTATGCGTATGTTATTGTACTATACAAAAGAATTGAAAACATATAATTAGTTTCCATTTTGACTTTTTTCTTGTATTTGATGGTGATATTTTAGTTTAACGGAGTAATAATTATACAGACTGATAACTTTATCTGAGCATTGAAAAATAGCCCTTAGATATTTACCCTAAGCTTAACTCCATCGGAAAAGAAAGCAAAGAGTAAAAGTTACATATCATAATATTAAAATACCGTATAATAATAAAGCGTATAAAATATAAAAATAAAGCGAAAGCTGAATTCTTCAAGTTGCCAGTAATCAACCATAGAGACATTCGGAGAGCAAATCTATGATAACGTGCTTGGACGTTAAAAACTGTATATAAATTTGGTATAACCTTATAAATCTTTCAATATTCACATTTAATTTAATGCTTATTTGTCTTACTTAATATATTCATTTTAAATATGCTTTTTTATATAGATTTGACGTCAAACGACCGTCTCAAGTTCCGTACAATTACAACAATAGACGTGCACGCACGTGATATCATCGAAGGTTTCGTACGTGATAACGTGACGGAAGCAGCCGAATTCGAATGGGAAAGTCAATTGCGCTTCTATTGGCTAAAGAAGGATGATAACCTTTGGATAAGACAGTGCACGGGTAAGATAAATAGATGGAAATCGTAATTTTAATGAAAAAGAAAAGAATAATTATTTATTCTACACAAAGTGTGATTTTTCCAATCAGTAATAAAGTTTGCTGCTCTGAATTAAACTTAATTACATAGTTTTTTTTTTCATGCAAATTGCAACACCGCCCCTCTTGAAATAATAAATACTTTATTGTACACCATAAATAAGACACACATAAAATTGTCGATGGCCCTATTGATAAAAGATAGACAATAGGTTGATTTTATCAACTACACACAATTACTTACATCGACAAGATATAATTACATAAAAAGAAAAACAAACAAGATAACAAACGCATAATACTTGTGTGTAGCAGTTAGAATAGGGTCAAGACTCTGTGGCGACTGATACATGGCGACATCTAATTCATCGCAGTAACATCGCCACAACAATCGATAGCGAGAAGACAAGCATCGTCACAGCCATCGATAGCAAGACGAACTGCAATAAGTTTCAACGGCAAGTAACGAGATGGCGCTGTACCAATACAAGCAACATAAATTAATAACTATAAGACATTTAGAACAAAGAAACCTACATCACACAGAATAAGTTTAATTACCAATTAACATAAATAGAACGTCCAACCTACATCGGTTGGACCGCGGTCCCCGGGCTAATAACACCTAGCTCGGAGGGAGACAATTATCCTTTAGTCTCCCTGGCCAGTTGTCTCCATCACCACACTAGGGACCACACCTTCAATCTTATGGTTCCTAAAGTGGTGACCCCGACGTGATCTTCAACCGACGTGATCTTCAACAGACGTGATCTTCAATTGACGTGATCCTTAAACGACACGACATCGAAGACTCGAAGAACTACGTGATCCTGTTTCGAAACGCATTTTTCTCCTGCAAGAAAAACTTTCACAAGATGGCAAACACGGAAGCAAACCCACCGTCGCCGTCCACATCAAACGAAATCTCCAGCGTCGCACTCCCACTTCGCATACCACCATTCTGGCGTGATAAACCACGATTGTGGTTCGCCGTTTTTGAAGCTGCAGTTAATGAGCTTCATAAAAACGAAGCCCAGAAGGCGCAGATGGTCATCGCCCAGCTAAACAAGGAAGATGTCGAGCAAATCTGCGACCTACTTTACGCACCACCGTCTGAGGGCTATTACACAGTCGTTAAAGAAAAACTCATATCTGCATACGAGGAATCCGACAGCAAGCAGCTACATAGGTTACTCTCCGACATGGAACTCGGAGACCAGAAGCCGAGCCAGTTGCTTCGTCGTATGAAAACGCTCGCTACGGGAAAAATCCCTGACAAAACGCTACAGCTAATGTGGATGAATCATCTACCACCACACGTGCGCTCGATACTCGTCGTAAGCGACACAATGGCCAAAGATACCGCACTCGACGATATCGCCAAACTCGCTGATAAGATGGTAGAACAATACGAAACTTCGTCAATTTCATCTATCACTACGCCGATATCAAACAATAAAGATGATACAAACATGCAAATTTTAGTTGACGAGTTTCGTAAAATGCACACCGAGATCGCCGAACTGAAAGAAAAAACATCCAATTACCGCAGCAGCTGTAGCGGGCCGCCACATTACCATTACACGCAACAAAGAAACGATCACAGGACGCGGTACACTGCATTCCCGTCTCACTCACGCAACCGCTTCAGAGACAGATCCCCATCTCGCTCCCGCCATCGTTCGACACAAAACAGCCGATCACCATCGCCGTTTTGCTTTTACCACCAGCGCTTCGGATCTCAAGCAAAACGATGCACGACACCCTGCACATATTACAAGAAGTCGGAAAACTAAAACGAACGCTGGCAGCGGCGGAAACCGGCGTTCCCGAACATTCATACCGCCTATTCGTTACCGACAAGAAAACGAATTTAAGTTTCCTGGTCGACACCGGAGCGAACATTTCGGTGCTACCTCGAACAAAAGGCCAACCAACAACGCCATTACCATTTCAACTGTATGCAGCAAATAACACTGTTATACCCACATACGGCGAAAAAACGATTGAACTCGATCTCAGCCTGCGCCGTCCATTCAAATGGAAATTTATAGTAGCCGACGTATCACAACCAATACTGGGAGCCGACATTTTAAAGTATCACCAGCTTATCGTCGACCTCAAAAATAGAAAACTTATTGATGGCGTCACAAACTTCAAGCTCAGTGCACCAATATGCACCATCGATGTTCCTACGATACGTAGTATTGACATATCACAGTCATACCACGATATCCTAGCGGAATTTCCCGGCACAACGCGGATAACGTCGATGCATCTCAACCCGAAAGTCAACGTGCACCATTACATCGAAACAACCGGCCCACCTATTCATTGCCGTGCACGTCCAATACCTCCACATCGTTATCAGGCAGTGAAGAAAGAATTCGAGAACATGATGCAGGAAGGCTTATGCAGACCTAGCAAAAGTCCATGGGCATCCCCTCTTCACATCGTGCCAAAGAAAAATGGTGACCTTCGAGTGTGTGGAGATTACCGCCGACTTAATGATATCACTAAGCCCGATCGCTACCCTATACCGCGAGTCAAAGACTTCACATATCAACTGGCTGGGAAAACAATTTTCTCAACGATTGACCTCAACAGAGCTTACCAACAATTGCCAGTTCGGGAAGAAGATATCGAAAAAACAGCTATAATTACACCAATGGGACTATTCGAATTTCCGCGCATGTGCCCAGGTTTAAAGAATGCCGGACAAACATTCCAACGATACATACACGAAGTACTCAGAGGTCTAGACTTCGTGTTCCCTTTCGTCGACGATTTACTATTGGCATCAGAGAATGAAATTCAACATCGGAAACATCTACGCACCGTTTTACAACGACTAGAAGACAATGGAATTACAATAAATCCGGCAAAATGTAACTTCGGTAAACAAGAAGTAATTTTTCTGGGTTACACAGTATCCAAAGATGGCATCAAACCACCACAAGAAAAAGTAACCGCCGTTGTCGAATATCCAAAACCGAAAACAATAGAAGAGTTACGAAGATTTCTCGGTATAATAAACTTTTATCGAGAACACATTCCGAGCGCCGCTTCCATTCAAGCCCCTCTAAACGCGTATTTGCACAACGTAAAAAAGAAGGACAAAACAATAATCGACTGGAACGATGAGGCAACAAAAGCATTTGAAGCGTGTAAAAATAGCATCATAAACGCTACTTTACTCGCTCATCCCTCTCATTATGCAACACTTGCTTTGTTCTGTGACGCATCGGACAATAGCGCAGGAGCCGTACTACAACAATACATAAATAAAAAGTGGCAACCACTCGGGTATTATTCAAAAAAGTTCTCAGAGGCACAAAAAATGTATTCAACTTTCGACCGAGAGCTACTGTCGATATACATGGCAGTGAAGCATTTTAGAAAGTCATTCGAAGGACGGAACCTAATAATCTTCACCGACCACAAGCCTTTAACATTCGCCATGGCAAAGTCACAATCCTCATCCGAAACACCGCGTAGGACAAGACAGCTTTTGTTTATCAGCGAATTTACCACAGACATACGCCATGTGAGCGGTAAACAAAACGTAGTCGCCGACGCACTCAGCAGGATAGAAACAATAGCCTGCCCAACAACAATAGACTACGCGGAACTAGCCACTGCGCAAGACAAAGACGCGACCATTGCACCCCTATTGAAGCAAGACAACATTCTACTAAAGAAAGTGAACGTTCCAAACACAGATGTCGATTTATATTGCGAGACTTCAACGTTGTACGCCCGTCCATATATACCCGAAAAATACCGCCTCGACATATTTAACAGCATTCATAACATTAGTCATCCGGGAATCCGCACAACTCGCAAACTTATAACAAAAAAATATTTCTGGCCGTCAATGAATATTGACATTGGCGTATGGGCTAGAAACTGCATAAACTGCCAGAAAAGCAAAATTAATCGACACACTACTTCGAATATAGCAACCTTCCCGCCAGCCGACCGCTTCCAACACATACACGTAGACATCGTTGGACCACTACCTACAACTGCGACAGGTGAACGTTACCTCATCACGATGATCGATCGACACACACGATGGCCTGAAGCAATACCTACCGATGACATATCAGCTGATACTGTGGCTGACGTTATCTACAAACATTGGATTTCGCGTTTCGGATGTCCAACGACACTAACCAGCGACCAAGGTCGTCAATTCGAAAGCTTTCTTTTTACCAACTTAATGAAGATTATGGGAATAAAGAAAAATCGTACAACACCATATCATCCGCAATCCAACGGCATCGTCGAACGCTGGCATCGCACACTGAAGACCGCACTGCGTACCAAACTTAGCAACACAAGCTCTTGGATCGACGAACTACCAACCGTGTTACTCGGACTAAGAGCCGCTCTACGGAGCGACACCGGCGTGGCAGCCCTGCACACCAGCAGCTTCGGTCCCGACGTCACAACCATGGCACTTGCAAGCTCTGAAGCACTGACTGCATACCACCTTCTATCAACATGGATCGACCTTCGGTCTAGGGGGAAAGTACTGTGGCGACTGATACATGGCGACATCTAATTCATCGCAGTAACATCGCCACAGTTCACCACCATAGGGACCCACATATCCAACCTTACGGTTCCTAAAGTGGTGACCCCAGAAGAACATCAGCAACCTTCAGCATCACAATGCAGCCATCACTCTTCATCAACAGCCTCTCACCCTTCATCATCAGCTTCTCATCCCTCATCAGCACAGCCACTTCAGCAGCAAGCCAGCCAACACCAAGGTCCATCACAGCAGCATCAACGGCGCTTCCTGGATTCTTGGCACCACTCGACGGCATCATCCCGACCTGGTCCACGCAGCCCACGACCGGATCTCAGTTCACACACAACTCACCGGCGTGGCAGCCCTGCACACCAGCAGCTTCGGTCCCGACGTCACAACCATGGCACTTGCAAGCTCTGAAGCACTGACTGCATACCACCTTCTATCAACATGGATCGACCTTCGGTCTAGGGGGAAAGTACTGTGGCGACTGATACATGGCGACATCTAATTCATCGCAGTAACATCGCCACAACAATCGATAGCGAGAAGACAAGCATCGTCACAGCCATCGATAGCAAGACGAACTGCAATAAGTTTCAACAGCAAGTAACGAGATGGCGCTGTACCAATACAAGCAACATAAATTAATAACTACAAGACATTTAGAACAAAGAAACCTACATCACACAGAATAAGTTTAATTACCAATTAACATAAATAGAACGTCCAACCTACATCGGTTGGACCGCGGTCCCCGGGCTAATAACACCTAGCTCGGAGGGAGACAATTATCCTTTAGTCTCCCTGGCCAGTTGTCTCCATCACCACACTAGGGACCACACCTTCAATCTTATGGTTCCTAAAACTCGGTGCCTTTAAATCACCTAGGAATAGTCTAAGCACCGGTTAATTAGCTACTTACTCGAGGCTACCGTAATTCCACACATCTTGAGAGAATACATCTAATAAATTAGTCAATACTACATTGCTCAAATCTTAAATTGTGTAGCTAAAGGACTTGTATTAAGGAAATTTTAAACAACACAACACCCAACCCCTAGATGATACAGAAAAGTTAATTTTCGTCATTGACCCAATCAGATACTGAATCCCGGCGTGAGAAAGTGTGGCGTGGAGACGTCGGAAAAAAATTGTGAAAAATCTTTTGGTTAATGAATTCACCCTTTTTACCTTACGCTTACTAATGATTTACCTTACCCTTTTTAAATACAAGATTATAAGCTGTTCCGAATAACATATCTAATAATTATTATTATCGTACAGGCGTTTTTGAATATGGATACGAATATATGGGCCTTAATGGACGATTGGTGATCACTCCACTCACTGACAGAATTTATCTCACCATCACCCAAGCGTTAACTATGCAACTTGGGGGAGCACCCGCAGGTAAATCAATATTTGGTACTGTTATAATAAGTAGCTATATTATATGAGGTACGCATCTTCAGCCAATACTTATGTTTCGATATGGTAATTTGTAAATATGACAGAAAAAAAATCTGTTCGAGGGTTATCATTTTTTCTGCCTGTCATTATTATTTTGTTCAAACCAAACAAGACTGTCAATTTCAAGTAATAGTTGTTTTCACTGCTTGTAACCACGTTTCCATAATGTTTGGAAACGTAGTTACTAGCAGGTTACGTCGTCCAGAAGGTGAACTACCTAAGCAGCCAGAAGTCACTTTTAAACCGCCTTAAAAAGAAGAGAAGCTTTCAGTTCGTCAAAATCTTTTAAGTGTGCATGTCCCCCGACCACTTGAAAACGCCTGGACCGATTTTTGAAGATTTTTTTTTCGTTTAAATACTTACTTCATAACTTTCCAGTTGTTGCAAATGGGAACACATATTTGCTTCCAAGTCATCTGATGATGAATCCCGTAAACATTGAAGGCAACTTTCAAATTTTATAGGGTCTCTTAATGAGTTGCAATATATATAAACTTTATATAGTATTATAAACTTTCGATTAAACTGAAAGCGATCCGTCCGGTTAGCGAAAAATCGCTACTTACAATAATTAATTAGTACTTCTTCGACTATGTACAATATTACCTCTATATCACTTAGAGATTTTAATGATTACTACTCTTGCGAATTAACTTAACATTGAAGACCTATTCTCTTTCGGAGAAAACGAAAGTTTCACTTATTCCAAATGATAATAAAACTCGATAGATACACATTGAATAATGCAACGGAGGTAGGACAGACAGATAATCTTCACAGATATGATTTTACCAAAATTTTAAGTTCTATATAGTAAATAAGTTCTAAATTTTAGTTCAAAGACAAATAGAATATGCTCAAGCGTCATATTAATTCGTACGAGTTATATATTTTTATCTGAAACACTAGGGCCAGCGGGTACGGGCAAAACGGAGACTACTAAAGATCTAGCGAAGGCTTTAGGATTGTTATGCGTCGTGACAAACTGTGGGGAAGGTATGGACTTCCGCGCAGTAGGACAGATCCTAGCGGGACTTTGTCAATGTGGCGCCTGGGGTTGCTTCGATGAGTTCAACAGAATAGACATATCGGTGCTCTCTGTAATATCCACGCAACTGCAGTGTATCAGAAGTGCGTTACTTATGAAACTCAAAAGATTTACCGTAAGTATATTTCCATATAAAAACGAGTAAAGATTAATGATCTCAAAGAAGTCGAAGATAAATATGCAAAATTTGTTATATCGTTCTCTGCCAGTCTAGTAAGGGATTTCATAAATATACAATGAGAATATTCTATACTATAGGAATATTATATGAGTTCATCGTACACCAGTACAGTAGGTACAGTGTTTTCATATATTTATTCAAGTTCAATGTACTTTATCCAAGTTTCACTATTGAATATTTATTGATGAGATGAGTCTTAAATATAAATAGTTATACAGACATACATGATAAATGGAAATGTAGAAATACGTGACAAATGGAACGTTGGAACGAAAGAGAGGTATGGTGCGCGAATGAAAATGTCATTAACGTGTTGTCTGAAATAGTGCATGCTCCAAGTGTGACGACCTTTTTCTCATTTTAGAAGTATAAAAACAAAAAAAAAATACCTTAATTTTGTCTCAATCCACAAACTCATTTAACTGACCCCTGCAGGAGTATTTTTTTAGCTTTGCAGTTTTTTTTAGTTTGAAGGACAAGAAATTGATATGGACAACAAAGTGGGCATATTCATTACTATGAATCCAGGTTACGCGGGACGTACCGAATTACCAGAATCTGTGAAGGCACTGTTCCGACCTGTAGTGTGCATTTTACCCGATCTCGAGATGATTTGTCAGATATCACTGTTCTCTGATGGATTTCTAACGGCAAAGGTAACATACACACGTATAAGGATGCATACACACCATAATTAGTACGAATGTCTAATGAAAAATACATACTAAAGAAATATTACCAACGTAAGCCGACGTTTTTAAATCTACTGAATACAACAGTGTATGAAATTTTTTATATCTTATAACAATATAAAGATTAATATCACTTTTATTAAGGTACTAGCAAAAAAGATGACGGTGTTGTACAAAGTAGCTCGTGAACAGTTATCCAAGCAATCTCATTATGACTGGGGATTGCGCGCATTGACCGCCGTGTTGCGTATGGCGGGCAAACTGCGCAGAGACTCACCAGGCTTGACTGAAATCATGGTGCTTATGAGGGCGCTCAGGTTTGTTTATTAATATTTTGTGATATGTGAAAATAATATTATGTAAAATAAGATGCAAGTGTTTTTCGTATTTCTTTCTAATTTGGACTGTATATGAAGGAGTAATTTCTTTTTTTTTTTCAATGTGTCTGTTTTTCGGTGAGCACGCTAAACCGATGGCCCCAGTTACTTCTTCTATTAATACTATATGTAAAAATGAAAGAAATTTCTGTTTGTAAGAGAATATTTTGAATGAAGCCAATAATTAATTTTCAATGTGTCAACAGAGACATGAACCATCCAAAGTTTGTTTTCGAAGATGTGCCTCTGTTTCTCGGGCTGATCAAAGATCTGTTCCCTGGTCTGGAGTGTCCACGCGTGGGCTATCCGGAATTTAATGCCGCAGTCATTGACGTACTCGAGGCGGATGGTTACATCGTTCTTGCACATCAGGTAAATAAATACGATAGTAAATAAGTAATTTCAAACACATGGTCTATTGTAATTTTGCTATAATTTTGTAATTTTTTTTAAATAATCAGAATTCACAATAATTGTTTTGTATAACCGTACAATGCTTACATTGAAATGAATGACTACGCTGCATATATGTAAGAACTCTATGACGTAAAGTGTATGTCTATTTCGGTTCATGGGATAAAACTCTATGACAGCCAGATAACGGTAGGAGAATATAGGACTTCTTGGGAATGATTGCTAAAGGTGCTTTCACACGTTCAATAATATTGTGCAAACGGACTGCGCAGTTCGTGTGAACAGCTTTATCATCTTCGTGTGGCCACACCATAAAAAAGGATTTAGCTTCTATTTTATACTGGACCAAGATTTTTGACTCCCCAAACTTTAAATCGAAAAGATCAAAGAAAGAGATTAAGTAACGAAAAACTTCATAGGTACAGTGCAAAGAAACGAATTGTGATCTTGATACTTTGTACGACTTAAGCATCTTTTAGCTTTTTACAATCGTACTGAATGACTGAATGAATGAATAAATTCTTTATTGTACACCATAAATTATAGAGAAAATACAATTTATACAGTTTAGTTGTACAATCGGCGACCTTATCGCTAAAGAGCAACTGAATTTCACTATCCATTTCATTCTGCACGGGATCGTGAGATGGAGCAGTAAATGTGCTTGAACCGGATTTTTTTGGGTATAATAACTCTAGACATTATCATGATTTGTGAGAAGTAGTGTCTGTTCATTCCCTCGATTACCCATTTTTGCATTAGATCTGCAATTTTTTCCATAAACATAAAAATACCCGCACTACTAGACTGACTATGTACTAACAAACATTTCACATGCAAAATAATCACACAGCGTAAAAAAAGAAAGAATAAGCATCCCACACGTCATAAACGCCACCTAAAGTGTAAATATTGTTCATAGTATTAATCATAAATACTTTCTCACACCAACAGGTCGATAAAGTTGTCCAATTATATGAGACTATGATGACACGGCATTGCTCAATGTTAGTCGGACCCACTGGTGGTGGAAAGTCGGTCATATTGCAGACTCTAGTTAAAGCTCAGACTAACCTCGGTCTGCCTACTAAACTCACTGTGGTCAATCCAAAGGTAATAAATAATAACACTACAGATAAGGTCGAATTAACTATACAGACTTGTTATAAAATCCAACATCAGCCTACTATGTCTCTATAGCCACTTTTCCCTACGACAAGAAAAGGAAAACAATGATTAGCATTCACCTCAATGACTAGTGATGTGCGGGATCGTAAAAAATGTAAATTCACGGATTCGGATGATACCTAGTTGTAATTGTTCTTGATCACCTAGAATATCATTTCATCATATTAAATGAAAATTAGTAAGGTAATAGATCCTCAGTAACAGATAGGATCTTTCTTCCCCCCCTGTATATCCGCGCAATACGAAAACGTATGTCCGGAGCATCACTCCCAATGACTTCAGATACTGCCGGGACCAGTGAATTACCGCGTCTTCCGAAGCACTTAAGTTTTATAATCCTTATCCTCATAAAGCCGTGCGCCTGAATTAGCGTGCAATAATATTTTATTTGCTATTAATAAGTACTTAAATTTCTTTTATCAGGCCTGTTCTGTCATCGAGCTATACGGTATTCTGGATCCAGTAACCAGAGATTGGACTGACGGGTTATATTCTAAAATATTCAGAGAAATGAATAGGTACAACTCAACCTTTTTAGAGATAGAAATCTTTAAGCCTTATTATATATTTAGGAAGACTTTTCGGTATCTGTAAAGTTAAAATGGAAAAATAAATCGTAATGGATACCAGTAAAATCATATTTCAAATTTCCCATTATTTTGAAACCTTCGTTCACATGATTTTTTAAAACTTTATTTAACCAGTCACTATCATCATCATCACCAGCCCGTTAATGTCCCCACTACTGGGGCTCAGGCCTTCCCTGTGGATAGAATCGAATACAATCGGGAGAATGGGCCATGACCCACCACGCGAGCCAACTACGGATTGGTGGGTATTAACGACTGTAGACCGAGACCAACGGTTTAACATGCCTTGCAAAGCACGGAAGAGTACGAAATAATAAATTTTTAGTCACCGTCTTATGATCTGTTATTGGAAAATTAGCTTAACAATCATATCATAGACTGATCGCGCTAGCCACTGCGCTATCGAGCTCCTCATCAGCGTGTTCGTATAATATAAATATGGAAAATGGATTTTAAACCATTAAACAAAATCTGGCCAACGACTCAAAATAGTCTTTCAGACTGCTATTGCAATTGCCAATAGCAGTCCCTATCAAATGAAAAGAAAGAAAAACTATTTATTTTATGGTTATTACTTCGCTTCAGTAAAACTTGCTTTCAGATTATTTTTTTTAATATTAAAGTACACCACTGTACACACATTGATAATAAAATCATTATTTAATTTATTAAACTAGTACCTATACATGAAAATTACAATTTATTAATCAATGATTATTAAAGGCCGGCTGAAAAAGACGAACGCCGATATTCTCTATTTGATGGCGACGTAGACGCTCTCTGGATAGAGAACATGAATTCTGTGATGGACGACAACAAATTGTTGACGCTCGCGAACGGAGAGCGAATTCGGCTAGCGCCTTACTGCTCGTTGCTTTTTGAAGTCGGCGATCTCAATTACGCGTCGCCTGCTACCGTTTCCCGCGCTGGGATGGTATTCGTCGACCCGAAGAATCTAGGCTACCAACCCTACTGGGACAAGTAGGCATATTATTACACAGTTTTATGAACTACCAGTGTTTTCTCACAAGAAACTTTGTAAATATAGAATAGAACGTGAGTCCATTGGACGCGGCTAAGTTTATTTTCGACGTAATTATTTAAGACGTAACTTTTTCGGGTAATTCGAGGTGTTTATTGTTAATATTTTTTTTTAATTAGCTCAGGCAATTAAAATAATTCTATATTAGTATGTATTTTTGATGCCCTTTATCTGGCGCAATTTAGATGCTCTCAAACTTGTAATGCATAAAATTATCAAGCATATTTATCGATTTGCCGAATATGTGTCTCCGAATTTACAGTGTCATATTATTAACTTGGCAAAATTTTATTTCGTATAATTTTCGTACATATTACCTACCTACTTATGCTGCCTATCCTGACTTTGAACTTTTTAAAAATGTAGTTCCTGTAATAAATGAAAATCGGATAACTTTCCTTTCTAATATCATGCATATACTCAATTACTAAACAATTTTATGCGAAATTAAATTTATGCCATTAATATCCTGAATAATTTGTTAGTAAGAAAGAAAGTAAGGAGCCTGCCTAATTTTTAGATGGCTTCGTGGTCGCAATAACGAGGAGGAACGTGAACAGCTAGCAGGCTTATTCGAGCACTATGTAGCCGGCGCCATCAACTATATAGTGTTTGGAATGTTTGGACTTCAACAACAGACGCCTCTGAAAACCATCGTACCGCAGACACCACTCAATTTGGTATGCCATTCATGGCAGATATACGTATAAAATTAAAACTGGTAGTTAAGACATAGTTTGCGATCGAAACCTAATCGAATTCGGTCGTTCACGATCGCATTTTAACGATTATTCCAAGTCTCTACAGTTACTCATAGAGAACGTTAACTGATCCATATTTTTTTACAAAAATGCGGCCTGTTCAAGACGCTTTTTTATATATGTATAATTATAGTGTATATGATTGATTTCTTGGTTGTCATTGAAAATATGTGTCAGGTGGTGCAATTGTGCTATATGATAAGTGGTCTGATGCCCAATAAAGAAGACAGCAATGAAGAAGTTGATAAGTCTGTCGTCGAGTGCGTTTTCATGGTGGTATGTAATCATTTGAAATTGTTAAAGTACCGTTTTCCGGTTCCGTTCACTAATTCAAATATATATAATAGGTATATAAAGACTATGTGAGTTGAAATATGCTGACCAACTTTTACTATGGGAGCAACACTAAATTCACGTTAAAATAATCAGCTGTTTCATACAAAATACCTACAATCGCCAACAGTATGAAACAGCTGATTATTTTTTGTGAATTCTGTGTTGCTCCCATAGTAAAAGTTGGTCACTATACTTAACTCAAGCATTTCATGAAGTCCTGGTATATAATAATATTTATCTTATATTATTTTCAATTTTATATTAAAAAAATCAATCTAATATAAATACTCGTACATACATATATTAAAATAAAAAAAGATTGATTAATTTTAATTGCTGTCAGTCAATCATATCTATTCACAAATGGACATAATTTGTATAAATACTAGTCGTTGATAATATAACTGATAAAATAAAGAACAAACGGCTTTTTATTGTTTTAATTTACTACTAAGATAAACTGCGGATATCCCTACTAATATTCTATTATAACTTCGTCTGTTTTTATGTTACGCTTATACGCCTATACTACTGAATCTATCTTAAATTTCATTAAGATAGATATAGAATTGATCTTGGTAAGGAAAGTAGATCGTCTGTTCAAAAAGAGGTTGAAATCATAAATGATTTGTATGGAAGTTCGTCACGGAAACTGTACGACTAAGACAAGGTCGCGAGCAAACGCTAGTACAAAATACCTCAAATTATATAGAGTGATACAAGTGTTCAACTAATTATAATTATTGCTTTGTACAGAATTATTGTCAGTTACAATGTCGTTTGGTCAGATTTCGAAAGTAAACTGGTTCAAAGCGGGCACTCTGAATGCAATGATATTATTCACCGATTACTCCCAACGGGGGCGTAGCTCAGATGGTAGAGCGCTCGCTTAGCATGCGAGAGGTACCGGGATCGATACCCGGCGCCTCCAAATAACGTTGCTTTTTGGTTATACCCATCATTTCAACTTTTTTTTTATTTCTATTCAATAATTTATTTAAGTGGACAATGGCTAGTGCTGCTCTCTTAAACCATTCACTAAATTAATTGTCGACTCCTCCACCTTAGTTAAACGGTTTTTATGTCTATACCATGGCACTACTACGTCTAATATTTCATAGTAATTTCCCAACCAGGTCAATGTATTTTTATTCAGCATATTTTCGGATCCGGTGGTTAGTGTGCCTAATTTGCGTTTGTATAAGCATGTAATGCATCTGTTATATGTGTATAGGTAGCACAATTACAGTCTAAAGTAACGTAATTTTATCAATAAAATCAATATAAATTTATTTATTGAAATTGTTAACAGTATAAATACGTTTGCTATTCTACAGTCTATGTACAACAGTCTCGGGGCGGCCATCGTTGATGATGGTCGCTTCGACTTCGATAACTACGTCAAGAAAGCATGTCCGATGATGCTCGTCGAAGACACGCAAGAGAAGAAAGCCACCACAAGTATGCAAAACTCTAATAGCATTAGACAAAATTCCATCTTGGTAATATAATTGAAACAACATACATTGCGTCTTCCTTATTGTAATCGCAAGTTTTTTTTTATATCATAAAATTATATATCGATTCTATTATTTACTAAAGTCCTCCTTATTCGACGCCTATTCTTTCCTTCAAATATTTTATCACAATCATCAAATTTAGGCAAAAAAAAATTGTATAATTTTATGCAAAAGATATTCAAGTCTTCTTACATCTCTTATACTTCTTGATCTGATAAACACAGACCAATCTAAGCGAGTCCAATTTGTATCCAGAACATTTCCCGATGGGCTTCCCGACCCTATACGACTACTGCTTGGAACTTACGACAAAAACTTGGGAAGCATGGGTGTGGTTAGTCCCTGAATATGAACACGACCGAACAATGAAGTTCCCTTCAATACTGGTGCCCACCGTCGATACCCTCAGACTTACGTGGCTCATTAAAATTATGGAGAGCGTACGTATAAACTATAATCACGAATATTTATTTCTTTAAGTTCAGTATAAATGAACTTGATATAAAATACAAATACTTACAGAGAATGTTATAACTGTTATTGGGACGGCATTACCCCTGAGATTGCCAGTACTTATTCTTGTTGGATATGTTTCTGAAGACATAAGACAACGTCAAGACAACGTCCGGTTAGAGTTTTGTACGCAATTCTGGGAGAAATTTTGCGCGCGCTTTTGTCAGTTGTTGCCGTCTCATAACAACGACGCAACGATAGGCAAGCATTATATATGTCTGGATTCTGACCTCAAAATCAGTGATTTCAAGCTTAATAGATTTAACAGAATACAGCATTTAAAAAGTAAGACAAGTCTATAAATATACTTGGTCAATATAATTTTTTTAAAAGCTGCCTGTAAAAATGATGGAAAATACAAAGCTAATGCAGTATTTTCATCGTAATAATAACCGTATATATCCGCAAAACTATGAAGGTAGTTACGCCCTGTTAGTCAAATCCGGACTAGGAGTAATTAAACGGCGAAATATTGAATTTGTTCACGTTTCAAAACTATTTATTAATATTTTAACATTGAACGCGCAGGTAGAACGTCCCGTGCTACTCGTCGGAGATACAGGAACGTCAAAAACGGCCATTATCACAAACTATTTACATGGATTACCAGCCGATAAATATGTGAGTGATGGTTTATATAATAAAGTAGGACAATGTTATGATTATAAAAAGAAGATTATAATATTTTGTTATTTTATCGCAAATATTAATTGTCTTACTGATACTAATTATACTCAATTATACAATAATGATGAATCATTTTTCTATCATCCTATTCCACTTACATATTTTATATAGTTCTTATGGATTTTCAAATAGACCTGCTAATTGTTCATCTACGGCGTTTAAGACAAAAATAAAAGTTAGATATTTACCATATATAACTTCGTCCGCGTTTTCCATTTTTTCTTCGCTCCCAATAGTTGCAGCGTGATGTTATATAGCCTAAAGCCTTCCTCAATAAATGGTCTATTCAACACAAAAATAATTTTTCAATTCGTACCAGTAGTTCCTGAGATTAGCGCGTTCAAACAAACAAACTCTTCAGCTTTATAATATTAGTATAGATGAAATACTGGCCAGAACAATCCTTCTAGCATGATTCAGTATTCACGCGCGATGGCTTATTATTAGCGTATTTCATGTATAACTTTGGTGTTTCTATACCGATTTCTATGATTCTTTTTTATGGAATACTTAATACTGTTATCTTTTTTAATTAGGTATGACTGAGAGTGTTATAAACGTAAGAGTAGACAATAGACAAATACAATCAGAAAGCTTCGAACTGCTAAGCTATCGGCAGTTACACGTGTTATTGTGAGTCAACCATAAAAGATAGACATATGCTGTCGTGGGATATTTTTTATATAATTTTAAGGAGAACATTTCCGTCATACATGATTTCTGGGTAGCTTTAACCATTAAGGTTGCACACGCGACGGAAGCTTAAAAAATGGAGTAACTTCTCCCGTTTTCCCAACATTTCCCTTCACTGCTGCTCCTATTGATTGTAGCGTGATGAAAAGTATACTATAACCAGCTCAGGAGTATGAAAAATACATAATTGTACCAAGTTTCGTTAAAATCCGTCGAGTAGTTTTTGTTTCTATAACGGTTATAGACAGACAGACAAAAATTTTAGTGATTGCATTTTTGGCATCAGTATCGATCCCTAATCACCCCCGGATAGTTATTTTGGAAATATATTTCATTGACCTCTTTCTTCTTTCTCTTTCTCTCACAGAATTGATCTCTCTACAGATTTATTGTAAATGTAAAGAATTTGGAAAAATATTCGTATACTCAATACTTATAAAACTCAACCCGGCATGTTTCCTTGTAGGTCAGTCTCATAAAATCGAGTAAAAACTTCGAAATAAAAATATAAAAACACAATATATAGAAAAATAAATGTAATTTTAAGTAAAAAATCAATACATACTTTCAGATTTTGAGCTTTTGTAAACATTGTGCATATCTACTAAACTTATTCAATTTGTTCGGCGTTGTTCCTAAAATATTTCATTGTGCAGCAGGTACGCAACAATGTATGTAATTATTACCTCTAATAAATTGAACGATCTGACCTGGTTATGTCGAAATATAAACCGGTCTTAAAATATCAGGTTAGCAGTTCTCTGACACAGCGATTTGTATGCTATTTTGGTCAGAGTTATTATCGGGGGCGTAGCTCAGATGGTAGAGCGCTCGCTTAGCATGCGAGAGGTACCGGGATCGATACCCGGCGCCTCCATGATATCTTTTTTTTATTTTCGAAATTCCTCACTCCTTCATTAATTAATATTTGTGTTTGTATTCTAAATTGTTAATATTAAGTTTCGTTATATATTTCTTAATTAGCTAAATTACTTTATTTAAAACTACGATTGTATAAAAATTAAACAAGAATAATTGTAAAAAAACGGTACAATTATGTTTATATGCTTAAATATATACAATTTACAGTAAAAAAAAAAACAAACAATAACAGTTATTTTACTGTCAGCTGCTATTTTATTAAACGAAAGGGTATTTGGAAAAATATTTATATTATTTTTCACATGCGACCTTTATTTTATTATTATTTTTTGTTACCTTATAGAACTACGATTTCGGATTTAAAGCTAGTTGCACAAACGTCTATTAATATTGACATTAGTTTAAAGAGACATTACCCATACAAATTTGACATTCATTAAAGCTTAAAGACGTCTTTAAACCTTAATGAACGTTTGTACAACTGACCAATGGTCTCTATAATGAAAACGATTTTTGTCCAAATATAGAATTTAACTGCAATAGCAGTTACATTGCACCTATTACAAAAGTAAAACAATACAATAATATGATCATTTAAAATTCGTAGAGCATAAACATTTTCTTTTTTATTTAGTAATATTAACTATATTGATATCAAACAGATAATACAACAAATGAACTTCTCGTCGCGCACCTCGTCTATGGACGTCCAACGAAACTTGGAGTCTGTAGTGGAGAAGCGGACCAAGGATACTTTCGGCCCGCCCGTCGGCAAACGCATGTTGGTCTTCATCGATGACATGAACATGCCTATTGTAAGTTATTCATATATTTATTTATTTTCAAAGGTCACTCACTCACTGAGCACGAAATCTCAAAAGCTACAAATTCTCAAAAAACTACTATAATTTTAAACGAAAAATGCATTAAAAAGTCCACTTGGTTCATTAAGAATATTTTTCAGTATAGCATTATGAATGCAAACTTGATTAAATACATTATTAATATTTTTTCATGAAACTCGCTTCATAATAAAAGTGAAATTAAGTTTTTGTTACTTAATATTTTACTGTTTATATATAACAGGTTGATACGTATGGTACGCAGCAACCCATAGCTCTTTTAAAACTGCTTTTTGAACGCAAAGGCTTCTACGACAGAGGGAAGGACCTGAACTGGAAAAACTTGAAAGACATCGGTTTTTTAGCCGCCATGGGCAAAGCTGGTGGTGGAAGGAATGACGTGAGATTTAATATTTTAACTGTTATTTATATTATGTCGGTTTAAAATAGATTCGTGTAGATAGAGTAGACTGTAGTGAGTAAATGTTCGCATAGTAATTTTTCTTAAACGTTTTAAAACACAGAAGTGCCAAATCCACCCTTCAGTGCCTTTTTAAACATTTGACTCCTCTCATCTCTATCTCTTTGTGGTTTTCTATTTTCCAGAGGTACCAACTGAACTACTACTTGCCCCAAAATGACTTATCTACAGAGAACAGCACGTCAAGTTATACAAAACTGTCAAATATTATCCACCATTAATAAATTTAGATTAGAGTTTAAATTTAATTATGGAAATTCGACATATTGTGATAACCTGAGGTCACCTACTTTTAATTAGCATAGAGTACCTGAATGTCAAGCTTTGATCATTGTTTTATTGTTTTGGAAAATCAGAACTACTTAGATCGATATATCACTCCCGAAACGCCCTACATACAAAAAAAATGAAAATCGTTGGAGCATATTATATAACACAACAAAATTATCGTTAAATGGAGACTGGGTACAGTTGAGACAATGCTTATTTATAATTTGACCCGATCTTCCCTTCTTATATTTAACGTTTTTAATGACATTTTCAGGTCGATCCTCGTTTCATATCAATGTTCTCCGTGTATAACCTGCAATTTCCCTCTGAGTATACATTGAATCACATTTACGTATCGATATTGAAGGGTCACTTCTCAATATTCCCTGAAGAGATACAGGAAATAGTTGATAAAATCGTGCAGATGACGCTGGACTTGTATAAGGTAAGTAAAAAGTTACCTGCGGAAATGTGTTTACTTTGTTTCTTTTTAGTATATTTTGTACAGTCAATAATAATATATAATTATGCAAGAATAATTATATATTATTATTGACTCTACAAAAACTCCATAAACTCGAAGTTAAATAATATGTTAGGAAAAGGGTTGAAAATTGATTACGTTACTTATAATTTATCATCATCCGCTTCCGTATTCTCCTTCGTAGCCGAGTGGTTCGCATTCCGGTTTTAAGGTGTTCCCATCTCTGAGGTCCCGGGTTAATACCCAGTCGGGTCAATAGTAATTAACCTTTCTATATTGTCTCGGGTCTGGGTGTTGTTACCTTCGTTGTCTCAGATACTCCATAATACGGGGACTTTAGCTACTTATCTTGGAATCTGAGCAATGTATGTGATGTTGTCTTATATTTATAATTATTATTATTACTCGCGCACTACTGTATCACACAGTCTTCTCCATGAAAAGAAATACAGGAACAAGGGGTCATAACCCACAACGTGGATAAAATGTCTTACTAAAGTTGCTTATACTCCGAAACCGCTCAATGATCTCCTTAAAATCACTCAAATATATTGTTCAACAGATAATAATAGTAGAACTACCTCCAACACCGGCTAAGTTCCATTACATATTCAACTTGAGAGATCTGTCGCGTATAGCGGCCGGTATGTGTCTCATGCATCCGAACTTCTTCAGCGAGAAAAAAACGGTAGTGAGGTGTTGGCGCAACGAGTTTACACGTGTAATATGCGATAGACTCATTAATATGCAGGTTCGTATCTATTGTTTAGATATTAATGTAGATATGCTAATTCACATAGGTTGTTTGCCGTATTCTGCTGACATTGCCAATGTATTGAAAAGATGCTTTATTATCTTCGTTAGTATGAATAAGTGCCAAAAGAATGTCATGCTCTCTTTAAAGTTACCTAAAATATGGATTAGCGAAGCGATGACTGGCACAGCATCATACTCGTGAACGGGTGCTGCAAGTGGAGACGAGTCTGCTCTAGACTACTTATTCTTGTTCCTTTTCTTTTTCTATGTATATTGTAAATTAATTAATTGATTACTCCCAGTGAGTTTCTTTTACACGGCATGTAAATTGTAAAGTGGCTCCATACATCTAATAAATAAATGTTATAATTCGACATCTCATTATTATATTTCATCAATATTGCATTCACAATGCTGTACTGGAAAATATTCTAAGTGAAAAATGCTTGAAAAGTCCACTTTGTCCTCTGGTCATCCCACCTCAGAGTACCAGGGAAAAAGATTTTTAAGCATTTTTCATTAATAATATTCGACATTTCATCATATTAAACAGGGAGCAGAATAGCAGCCTCTTTGAGTTCCTTGTCGGCTCTTCTTGCTAAAAGGTCTCTTGTTGTAGATTTACAAACTGATTGTTTGCAGTTTCAACTTTCTGCCTATAAATGATTTAGATTTGATTTAACAAGACTGGAATAATTAAAAAATATAAAAAATGAAACATTTCCTAAGTCTACTTTTCTTTTTCTTACAAGAGAGGACAAGCAAATGACGCGTTAATTTTCTTTACTGTAATTTAGTAAAATGTAACTAGCCAAACGAAGACATTTCAATTTTTTTTTATATTGTACGTTCGTTGAAACTTGATTCAATTTAATAAACATTTATGTAACAGCGTTCCATCGACATCTTTTCGTATATAAAGAAGTGATTTTTCTCTTGCATTTTTATTCGATCTTCCAGAACCTTTGCAGGTTTCTTGCATCAACAAACTATTAAATATTCAAAAGTTGTTGTTTTATCAAATTAACACTATGCGCAGAATTGTAAACAGTCATTTGTTTTATAAAGTTCTTTTTTTAAGTAAATACTTATGCGTCGTTTAGGATAACGAGTTGATGTATACGCACATACAAGAACATATTGTCAAGTACTTCCCTGAAGAAGAACCGGTGGTCCTCGAGGAGATCGTGGTTACTGAAGATGACGTAAAGTTGCCTGACGAAGAAGAAGATGGTTAGTTCATCTATACTAATATTATAAAGCTGAAGAGGTTGTTTGTTTGTTTGAACGCGCTAATCTCAGGAACTACTGATTCAAATTGAAAAAATCTTTTTGTGTTGAATAGACCATTTATCGAGTAAGGCTTTAGGCTATATAACATCACGCTGCAACTATTAGGAGCGAAGAAATAATGGAAAACGCGGACGAAGTCGCTGGCGGCCACTAGTCTCATAATATGTATAATCAATCGGGCATTATTAAAATACGATAATCGGTAATTTCGTTCGCAAAATAATGTAGAAGTTATATAAAATATAGCCTATTTTCACCGCATATGATGTAGCTTCCCATAGATGAAAGAATTTTAAAAATCGGTCCAGTAGTTTCGGAGCCTATTCGTTGCAAACAAACAAAGAAATCTTTCCTTTTTATTATATTAGTATAGACTATAGATAAACAATGATAAATGTTTTATAGAGACATTGTAAAGGTTACTTTTTTTTTTCATATAGAGTATGCTGTAAAAGAAGAAAAACCTGAAGCTAAGCCGGATACAGCAGAAACAGAAGAGGTCGAAGAAGAAGAGGTTGAGGTGGAAAAGGAACTAACGGTACGTTTAATTTAAAAAAGTACCTCATTTTTAATGATATAAAAATTAATAAGCATAACATTTTATACAGTAGTATAACATGTAGAAACCGTTTTTATTCAATATTATGGGGCGTTACCTTATGGAAGTTTAAAACATTGCAATAACAATAACTGCTATAATTTAGCTACTGCCTTAATTTAGCTTTAGGCTATTAGTGAAAAATATCTACGCAATGCAAGCTATTAAATACATTTGCACGATCGACGAAAAATTTCACAGACTAATAGTCTTATTAATCTACACGTGCTTTGTATGCCTCTTTATAGATGAGATCTTAGACCTTCCGAAAATTGCTTATTACCAAATTACTTTTCTTACATTGTGACACGGATTACAGCTTGAAGAGTACGTTCTGCGTGATCCTCTATTATTTGGAGATTATAGAAATGCTTTAGATGAGGAAGAAGTTAGATACTACGAAGATTTGTTGGATTACGAGGCGGTCTACTTTTTGTTCCAAGAGGTAAGACCAAAGTGAAAAGAGTTTCCTTAAGTGGACTTTATGATTTGCATAGGGCAAAAAAGTTGATATATTTTCATAGTCAAATACTTTCATTATTAACATTATATTTTAAAGAGTTATTTAAGGCTGTGACAGCCTTCATGACACAAATCGAAATACCACTGATGAAATAGCCCGCACTCTGCATTATGGGCTCTATCTACAAATCTAAATGAGCCATTAAAAAAGATTCCAAACAAAATCAGAATATTTATTTAATTAAATAAGCTTATTGAAAGTAATTTTGCTTCGACAACAACTTTACCACTCTATGCAGGATATTTGTTACTAAAAAAAGGGTGCAAGAAATTTACATTAGATTACAGCAGTAGTAGGTAAATAAACGCCACATAAACTTATACTATTACCAAATCAATCAAACTATACCAATGTTAAACATAAAAGAAAAAACATTGGTTTGTATAGAATAAAAAAAGGCCCATCTATTTATTAATTCATTAATTTTATATTATTGATATTGTTGCACAACACAGAAAAAAAATACATACAAAGAAAATAATATAGAAGATGTACAGTAGGCCTTATTGCAAATTATTCCAGACGATTATATTAAAGACCCTTACTAATTTCCTATCAATGAATGTTTCTTTTCAGTAGATAGAAAAGATAAAACCTTTATTAGGCTTTGTTTTTAAATATGATAACTGACTCACTACCTCATTATGACGCTACGCTAAGAAAATATTTTGAAAAAATCTTACCCCTAATGAGTTGATCTAATGTATAAAGCTAGCAATATAAATTACGTTATAGTTGTTTCGAAGCATTTTGTTTGTAATGCAGATTTTAGAAGAGTTCAACGAGCGCGTAGGCAAAATGTCGGTAGTGTTATTTGAAGATTGTCTGGAACACTTGACACGTACCCATCGCATCCTTCGTATGGATCGAGGCAACGCTATGATCATCGGCGTGGGCGGCTCCGGCAAGAAATCTATATGCCGACTCGCTTCCTTCGCAGCAGGTAGGTACTTTAATGAAATGAAATAGCATTTATAGACCCAATACAAATATAGGACAATAACAAGATATCATAATAACAAAAGGAATTATTGGAGGACAAACCAGGAACTTGGCTCAGAATATGCTACTACTACTATATCGCAGCAGCGCTGGTATTCCGACAGGGACTGTATTTGTGTATGTACGTGTGTACGCGCGTTTATGTATACGTGCATGTACGCACGTATGTATACACGCACGCACTTATATATGAAACTGTGAAATTGTAACGCAAATGTGCAAGTGTTGTAACGGGTAATACATCAGTATGTAAGCACTAAGAATATCAGTACCCGATGTGGAGGTAAGGTGCTAGAACACATGATTATGACGGTGCGAAGACTTATAGCGATTACTGAATGTGCTGTTCCACTAAACCAAGTTCAATTATTTTTCTTTTATCTTATTTGTAGTGATAATTATTAAACTTCATACTCTTTTTTGGCTCTGAATTTCACGACAATTTGAAAAGACGCTGAGTACTATTCTATTTTATTATTTTATATTAAAAATAAGTTCCCGCAAATTATTAACAGTTACGACCCATAGCATATCACCATTTTATGTACTCATACTTTTACTTGCGCCGCCACCACCATTGTTTCAGAACCAAACCAAACATTGGACACTGAATGATACTCTTAGTACCTCCGCATGCTAAAATATCAACAGTTATAAAACTTGCACATTTTCATCATAAGCTTTTGTACTATACATATACAATACAGTTGTCCAATAATCTTAAAAAAAAAACTGTCTCAGCTAGTTTATCACTCGATAATCATGCAGTCGCAAGCAGATCTGGTTTGTAACAAAAAGTTTAAATAGTACAATAAATAAGTCTTAATCAGTTCATAGTTGATTAATTCGAGAAAAGTTCTCGTTTGTAGTAATTCAATTTGGCGCTGTGTATACATTAGGTGTAGATAAATCAAATTGATCCTAAATACCAATTCAACCTTATTTCACTACTCTTAAGGTTGCATATGTAATTATAACAATAAACAACAACGACTACAACTCATAAAGATCTTATTTTAATATTTGACCTTAGAAATATTTTGTGTTCACAGGCTGTGATATGTTTGAAATTACGGTAACCCGTAACTATAGCGAGAACACATTCAAGGATGATATGAAACGTCTTTACAATCAACTTGGAGTTGATGGAAAGAAGACCGTATTCCTGTTTACTGCTGCACAGGTGAGGTCACTCTTAAAGCATTTTCCGAAGACTAGATTCAAATCTATGCTTTATTCAATACAGAATTTTGTAGCTAACAGCTTCAACGGGTATTTTGAATATATTTACTACGATAAACAAACCTAGCAGCACATTTAAACTGTTGTGTTCCGCATACGTGTCAAAGTGTGATTCCTTACAATTATTAGATTCTCGAGGAAGGCTTCCTGGAGTTCATCAATAACATCCTGATGATTGGTATGATCCCGGCACTGTTCGGTGACGACGAGAAGGACGCCATCATCAACGCAGTCCGCAACGAAAGCAACGAAGCCGGTCATGGTGTCGCAAAGTAATTTTTATATGTATAATAATATTATAGAGAGGTAAAGTTTCGATCCTTGTTTGTTTAGTAGTACTTAGTGGGTGATCTTCAAAAATACTAATTGGATCATGAAAATTCTTTTACGTACGGGAAGTTGCATTATACGCGGGTGACAAAAACGATAAGTCGCTGGAAAACTTTGTATTTGCGGAGTTGTAACCTCCATGGCAGAGTGGCTTGCACGTCAGCTTCAATCTCTGAAATCCCGGCTTCAATTCCCAGTCGGATCGAAGTAGAAGGTCTTTTCTACATTGTACTTAGTCCTGAGTGTTGTGATATATTCTATATTGCGGATCATAACAAAAGTGTTAAATGCTAGCTGAAATAAGGGTCTAAGATATGTCTCTATATAATGTCTTATATTTATTTATTTAAATGACAGAGATGCTGTATGGAATTTCTTCTGCAACAAATGTGCTGACAACCTTCATGTTGTATTATCGATGTCCCCTAGCGGAGATATATTACGAAATAGGTGAGTATTGCTTCTAAAATTGTGTTTTATAAACAATGGTTGCTCTCGGTGCTCTCGATATATATTTAATAAATTTTCGCTTAATTTATTATGAGAGTTGACTAATATAATATATACCGTCTGGTAAAGTTGATCAGAAAATAAAGATTCTCACATATGCATTTATTTTTTGTTTATTTGTGAATAGATGTCGCAGTTTCCCTGGTCTAGTGAACAATACGACAATAGACTGGCAGTTCCCATGGCCCAAGCAAGCGTTGCTAGCTGTAGCTAACGTTTTTCTAGCTGACGTAAGCTTTGTAACCATTCTTTATACTCTTTAAGCTATGATTAATAATAATTATGTTATCTTTGCGATTTCGTACTAAGATAAAATGGTTTTTCAATGCAGTTGCTCATAAAGCGCTATTTTTTAATCCTTTGTAAACACCGAATTTTTATTTCCTCGCAAAAAGCATTGAAAAATGTTGTAAGAAACTTGAGCGTTAAAGGTTTCTCGAATTCGTGCCAATGAAATCCCTCGCTACGCTCGTGTTTTCAATTTGGCCCTTATTCGTAAAACCTTACTTTCCGCACTCGTATCTTAAATAACTATTGTACAACAAGAAACCGAATTTCACTGTAAAACTTCTAGTACTTTCATTTTTTTTAGCAAATATTGGCCTTGTTACTTAGTTGATATACATAATTTCATGTTGTTTTAAAGTCAATATAAGAAGAATAATTTAAGAGTCTTGTTGGGTGTCGGGTAGCTCAGTGGTTAGAGTAGTCGTCCGGGCTGCGCAAGGTCGTCTGTTAGAGTCCGATCTCGGGATACCGGGGTCTGGTGGATTTTTAAGCATTTTTCATTAAGAATATTTTCCAATAAAGCATTCTGAACGCAAAATTGATAAAATATAATAAGAATAATATATTTTACCATTGTGTTGAACTATACTGGAAAATATTCTTAATGAAAAATGCTTAAATTTCCAACCCATCTCAGGGTACCAGGGACAAAATGGATTTTGGAAAGAATGCTGTCTTCAACTATTTACACGCATGACTTATAGGTTCAAAAGATCCCCGAGGAATTCCGACCGATAATAGTGGAGCACGTAGTCCACGTGCACATGTCCGTAGCGCGCTATTCTGTAGAGTTCCTGCTACGACTACGACGTAACAATTACGTAACGCCCAAGCATTATATGGACTTCCTCACCAATTACCTTTTACTGCTCAATGAGAAGGATGCTTTCATCGTAGCACAGGTGAATAAAAAAATCTTTTGTAATTTATAGAAACAAAATAATTTCTTTGGGTTACGATAAAAATGTAACTTTGTATTAGGCAATGCTTTGTAATATTTCATTGACTCTATTTTAGTGCGAGCGTCTCATAGGTGGATTAGCAAAAATAGAAGAGGCAAATGTTCAGCTCGAGGACTTAAACGCGAAGTTGGCTGTGCAAAAAGTAATTGTAGCTGAACAGACTAAAGAGTGTGAAATACTTCTCAAAGAAATAACCACGGGTTAGTCCTTAACATCAATATAATTAAAACGTTTTCTCATATTGTTATAAATTAAAACACATCGAGATAAATTTCTGTACGCTGATAACTATCCTATAAGAGTTAGAATTACATAATTTTAATTTTGCTCCGGTAACGGTACTTTGACTAAGCGATACGAACAGCATTATCACAAAATATAATTTCTTAGTATAAAGTAAAGCCGCTTTCTATTGTCTGTACGCTGAGATCTTTTAAACTACACCAAGGATTTGAATATGTTATAATACAGGATCACGCGAGCGAAGCCGCTGGCGGAAAGATGTTTTTTTTTAATACAGTGATAGCTTTAAGTTTCTTTCAACTGTCTATGAGTCGCAGTTAATCGACAAATGAGTTTGATGTAGCCTTCCTTAAATTTTAACTGTGCTAAATATAATAATTTTTAATTTACTGTGCCTTTGTTTTGTCAAAACTGATTTCATGAAATCTAGATATTAGTATATTACAATGAATAAAATCGTTGAATATATATTTTTACGTAACATTGCATTTTATATCAAACTGAGCCCCAAAAAATTTATACCGAGCATAAAATTAGTGTACCATACTTATAGATAGATTCATATGACTTTATTCCTTCCCGATAGCTACGGAAGCGGCAGTGACCAAACAAAATGTAGCTGCTATAAAGTCTGTTGAGATCACTGAACAGAGTGCAGTCATAGCGGTGGAGAAAGAAGAAGCGGAAGAAGCGCTATCTGCTGCCCTACCAGCGCTAGAGGCCGCTAGATTAGCTCTTGCCGACTTAGACAAGAATGATATTACTGAAATTAGGTCTTTTGCTACTCCGCCTGAAGCTGTACAGGTATAGATTCGTATTATACATTTAAAAGTACTGATGAAGACTTTAGTTTTCCCTTGTAGCGGAACTTTAAGCATTAATACCCTTCGCCTCATACACTTTCATATACCAGTGCCCGTTTTTATGGCTTCTGTCTATTTGCCTTGCCTTTGCCTTTCAATCTATTTGTTATAATTCATTGAACTCGTTTTTTGTTAATGTATCGTCATATAACGCATACAATTTTAAATCAATGTCTATAGTTGATCGTACTAACTAATATTATAAAGCGGAAATTTTGATTGTTTGTTTGCATTTAATAGGCTCTGAAAGTAATGAACCGATTTAAAAAAATCTTACATCTACGGGAAGCTACATCATACGCAGGTGACATCCTATTTATAATATAAATGTGAAAGTTTCTTTGTTTGGATGTTTGTTCGTCAATCACGCCGAAACTACTGAACGGATTTTGATAAAATTTAGTATACAGATAGGGTTTTAGATGACTTATATAACAGGATACTTTTTATCCCACTAAACATTTCCCTAGGGACCACGCGGACGAAGCCGTTGGCCAAAGCTAGTATATTACAATTTACACGTGCGAAAACAGCTAGTATATAAATATTATTAATGAAAAATGCTTAAAAAATCCACTTTGTCTCTGGTATTCTGAAATGGGATGAGATAAAGTGGATTTTTTAAGCATTTTTCATTAAGAATATTTTCCAGTATAGCATCATCATTAGCCCCCAGCCCACTGCAGGCGCTCAGGCCTTCCTTGGATGGTAAAGGAGGATGAGCCACAATCCTCCACGCGGGCCCAACGCGGATTAGAAGGTATTACGACTGCAAATGCAGCCAGGACCAACGGCTTAACATGCCTTCCGAAGCGCGTAGTAGCTCGAGATTATTATTTTTTTGGTCACACATCCCGTGATCCCGTTTGCGAAACTTGTTACAATAACGATTGCATCGCGGCGCTTGACCACTACGCCATTGAGCTACAGTATGTCATTGTAAATGCAAAATTGATCAAATATAATAATATTACAGGTAGTCTGCGAATGCGTAGTAATAATCCGTGGAATCAAAGATGTCAGCTGGAAGGGGGCCAAAGGTATGATGGCCGACCCGAACTTCTTGCGGAACCTGCAGGAGATGAACTGCGACCTCATCACGCAGACGCAGGTGAAAGCTGTAAAAGCGCACATGAAGAAAAGCAAAAAGTTAGAGACTATGCAGCAGATCAGTAAAGCAGGGTGAGATCTAAATCAATATTACATAAGATAATGGTCCAGTTTCACGGGTCTCAGTAAGAACCTACTATTGTATGTTATAAGATACAATCTCTATGATATTATCTTTAAGAAAATCACGAACTTTAATAGAACCCGAAAATCTGTCCAATATTTTTTTGGTAAATGAGGGACATTCTAAATTTCGTGCTTGTATCTCTGTGTTCCATTATCATTGTAGTTTTTAAACAAATGAACTAATTTTATGGAATTGTTTTAATTTAACTGAAAGATATTATGCACATAATTATACATTTTAATCCCTGTGCAATAAGTACAATTTAATGAAAAATCCTGAAAAAGTAACAACTATCTTTCTATTTTTTAGCTATGGTTTACTTAAATTCGTAATAGCCGTACTCGGTTACTGCGCAGTGTATAAAGAGGTGAAACCGAAGAAGGATAAAGTGGAAGCACTCGAAGCTGAATATACTTCTGCAGTGAACTATCTTGCTTCCCTCAACCGCGAGATAGATCGTCTCCAACGCACACTAGACGGACTCAACAACAGATATGACACGGCCATGTTAAGAAGACAAGAGTTGCAAGAGGAAACTGATATAATGATGCGACGATTGGTCGCGGCCGATAAACTCATGTCCGGATTGTCCAGTGAGCAGAAGCGTTGGACTATAGATCTAGCGGCGTTATATGTCGAGCAGTCACGGCTTATTGGTAATTGTTTGCTCGCTGCTTCATTCCTTAGTTATGCGGGCCCATTCTCGTTCTCGTTTAGGCAAACTATGATATATGAAGATTGGTTGGGTGACGTCAGAGAGAGAAATATACCATTGACAGAGCCGTTTACTATTGAAAGGAACCTCACCAACGAAGTGGAAATAAGTGGGTATGTTGAAACTTTTCAATGTCTCTGTTTATCAGCGCTTGTATGTTTTTATTTTTGACGTATATTAGTCTTTTTATTGACGTAAGTAGCTGTTCTTAATGAAAAGTGTTTAAAAAATCCACTTTGTCCCTGGCACTCTGAGATGGAACTCGAACCCATGACCGTTCGTAATCCGAGTGACTGCTCTAACCACAGAGCTATCCAGGACCTAACAGGGCTGACGAATCTTTCAAACACTTGTTACTTTTTCGCTACTACAGAGGCAATCCATCTAAACAGCCGAAAGAAATATTTTTACAAATATTTAAACTTTCGATATAGATGAAAATTTGTCATAATTATTATATTTGATCAATTTTGCAATCACAATGCTATACTGAAAAATATTCTTAATGAAAAATCCGCTTTGTCCCTGGCAACAATACCTTATCTGAAAACAGTCTGTTCTTATCTAAGTTGTTGATATTATGTCTAAATAAATAAAGAATAATAAATATGTTAACTGCATATACGAACTACAAGTACTAAATAAAGCAATAATACTATTTGCGTGACATTGCAGTTGGAACTCTGAAGGGTTACCTCCTGACGAACTATCGGTGCAAAACGGTATTCTAACAACGAGAGCATCAAGATTCCCGCTATGTATAGATCCTCAAACGCAGGCACTTTCTTGGATCAAGAAGAAAGAGGCTAAAAATAATCTGAAGGCAAGTTAATCAAAACTGGCAACACTACCTTGTTTTTTGCAACGTGATACTTGTGAAATTTCACAATGAATTATAATCTACTATTTAGTCTACTGATAAAGAAGTAGCATATCAAGTTTCAAGCTTTTACTTTATATTCAACAGGGATGGCTAGCCTTCGCATACCCTAGTCAAATAAGCACAAAAAAGGAAAAACCAATAGATTATAAGATGTATCATTAGATCCATAGGCATAGGACAAACACAAACCTAAGTTTTACTACTCTACTAATCACTTCTTAAAACTACGAGATGGCGTTGAAGAAGCTATTTTACCAACTTCTTAGTCGAGACCGCTATTTTCTTTCTTGTCATGTTTTTTAAGATGAAACTACGACAGCGCTATTTGGACAGTTGTCTTTCTTGTTGACTGATATTAAATAATCGATGGCGGATGTTGATGATAGCGGAGCATTAAACAATATTCGCAAAGGCCTGTTATCGGATAGGAGACCAAAAGTTTAAGATCTTCTCCCAACTTTAGAAGGAATGTTAAAGCGTTAGTGTAAGCATTGACAAGCTAATGATGATTATCAAAGACTTTGTAAAATGAAGACCACCATTTACTTAACAGGTTCTATCGTTCAATGACCCTCAGTTTTTGCGTCAATTGGAGATGGCGATTAAATATGGCATGCCAGTTCTGTTCCAAGACGTCAATGAATACATTGATCCCGTCGTCGATAACGTGCTTGAGAAGAACATAAAAGGTTAAATAAAATTTATACCATAAAATATATTCTACGCGCTCTTAATTAACTTACACTCTAAGTTCTGTAACCTTCAACAGAATTTTAAGTTTAATATTATCCTTAATCGATACAGCTAGAAAAAGCTAGTCTGTTAAATATAACTCGTATTTAAAAGCAGCTCAATCCTAGCTGAAGGAAGCGAACGAAACGAAACTTTAGTTGAATACGACACGTATTTTTTTTTTATTTATAATTTTAAATCTCATAATCTATCATTAATTATAATGAAAATAATATTTCTATATTTAATTATACTATGCACAGTGGAAAGCGGTCGCACATTCGTGATGCTGGGAAGCTCCGAAGTGGACTATGATCCTAACTTCCGCATGTATCTTACCACCAAACTATCCAACCCGCAATTCAACCCCGCCGCATATGCAAAAGCCGTCGTTATCAATTACACAGTCACAGTCCAGGTAAACCACTTTCCAGGATATTGCAATCGCACTGACTCTCCCATCATAGCATACGACATCGGAGGTTTTCTTAACATACTATCAGTACTATATTTTTTATTTGTAATCATGATTCTGTAATTTGTAATTTAATATGGATCACTGGGTCTGAAATAAAGATTAATTATTATTATTATTACTATTATTATAAAGAGGAAAGATTTGGTTGTTTCTTCGTTTGTGTTGTAAGTTTGATGCAATCAAATAGGCTCTGAAACTACTGGACCGAATAAATTATTTTCACCTACGGGAAGCTACATTATGTGCGGTAGACATAGGCTATATTTTATCCCGAAAAAACAGCAAATAAATTGATGAAAATGGGAGTGGAAATTTGTAGAGGGAATTTATACGTTGCCATAGTAATCATTGTTTACTATTCAATTTGTCATTGTAATTTTATCCGTGGCATAATATAATAAAGACAAAAAGCCAATTAAAAGTCCCCCACCATTAGTAACATACTACTCTAAATATGTATTACAACAGACTGTATATTAATCATCCACGCACACACACCAAGTACCTAGCTATGACAAAATCGGTAGTTAATGGTATATAGGTATTACATTGTACTCACAAAGCGTTGAAGAACATACTGCTTAAAGTACGTCTTGCCAAAACCTCGCTAGTGTCGAAGAGATCTAAGTTTACCTGCCTTGATAGATCATTGAAATTGTTATGAGCTCGCCAAAGATATGCATTTTGTCTATAATTGGTAGAAACGGGAGGGATTATAAAAGAGGATTGAATCTAAGGGGCTTTGTTGGAGTTCTAAGAAAAATTTTAAAAACTAATTCAGGACAATCAATTACACCAGATGCAATTTTCATTAAATATACAACGTCTGCAATCTCACGGCGCCTTTCCAATATATAGTATATACTTATATATATCATATTTAATACTTAACCTGGTTTAACATACGGGCTACTTTTTATTCCACATAACAGTTCCTTAGGGACCAAGCAGGAGAAGCCGCTGGTGAAAAGCTAGTATCATATTAAATGATTTGAAAGAAACTCACACTCGCAAGCAATTCATAAGATAATTTATATGCCAGATAAATATGCCAGAAATTACAATTTCGCATTGCGTCACACAATTCGTTCCACAGGGTTTAGAAGATCAACTGCTCAGTGTAGTGGTACGCGCGGAACGATCTGATTTAGAAGAACAGCGTGAGAGTCTCATCATAGAGACCAGCGCGAACAAGAGCTTGCTATCTGGCCTAGAAGACTCGTTACTGAGAGAACTGGCCACCTCCACTGGCAACATGCTGGATAACGTGGAACTTGTTAATACACTCGAAAACACCAAATCTAAAGCTGCAGAGGTGAGTTAGTAGATAGCGTTGGAACAATTTCTTTAGTATCTACACTTCAGCTTGATCATCATCATCAGCCTATCAATCTGTCACTGAAGTATACACAGGTTTTCCCCTATTTGGTAAAACCATATAAATGGTTTTAACTTACTACTAAGTTGAAAACCTATCACTGAAGTATACACAGGTTTTCCCCTATTTGGTAAAACCATATAAATGGTTTTAACTTACTACTAAGTTTTAACTTACTACTTACTAAGCCGCGGGTCAATTGCGGATTAGTGAATGCTAATGACTTCAATTGCAACGTTTGTTTAAGAGATATTTCACAAAGTAATATATGGTCAGTACTATAGTATGTAGATACGGATTTTGTAAAAGTTATCTGTTATGTGTTGATATACGATCTATCAAGTTTTTTAAATAAACTTGCCCTAGGTAACATTACTGAGTGATTTTTCCGCTGTCCAACACATTGATGTAGCAACTATATTTCATTTATTTTTACCCACTCTCGTCTATACATCATGATGACACTTAAAGTAACTACGACCTCGACGTATTAAAAATGGTATTAAGTATCTAATCTTATTTATCCAAAATTTAATAATCAGGTGATGGAAAAATTGGAGCTAGCTGAAGCCACTACAAAAGACATCGAGGTACTCCGCGACGGTTATCGACCGGTAGCCAAGCGTGGTTCGATTTTGTTTTTCGTACTGTCTGATATGGCGGGCGTTAACACTATGTACCAGTACTCGCTGTCCTCGTATCTTGACGTAAGGAAACCCTGATAATATACTTTAATACACCTTCTATCTTATTAATAAATACACAAGAAATTATGACAATACAAGAAAAAAAGAATTCGGGTCGAAAAGCGCGGGGAGTGACCTCAAGGTCGTACTCGTGCATTTGCCTTCCACAGAGAGAAACATCGATGTGTTTTAGTGACTACGCTTCTGCCTTTAGACTAAATTACGGTCCGGCAAGGTCCGTACATCAAACATAACCTCATAGCCCCGCGAAGAAGCCATAGACAACTAACGTATTTCTTAGTACCGGTTTTCGCTTTCGCTTCTAGTAAGCATATTTTTATTAATAACTCATTATTTCGTAATAATATCAAAATCGCATTGTTTTTATATTATTTAACTTATTCGCGACATGTTTACAAAGGTTGTCTTTTTTCGAGAGTGCGAAATGATTACCAATTGATTTCTGTCCCATGACAGGTTTTCTCGTTTTCGCTACGTAAGGCTATGCCAAACGTAATCCTTGCCAAACGATTGAGGAATATCACAGATATGCTGACCAGAAACGTTTACGACTACGGTTGCACTGGTAAGAAAGAGCTTTAAAATCTTATTTTCTTTAACGAATTCGTTTTCCATAAGAAAGATTTATTATTGGCTTACACGCCGGTTTCGAGATGTCGCCATCCATAAGGTCCCGGGTTAGATTCCTGGTCGGATTAATGACAATTTTCTATATTGTCCCTATTATTGGATATTGTGGTGCCTTCTTTGTTTATTATTACATGATGTTATCTAATAGTTATCTTCTAGCTTGCAGCTTATTAAATTATGACGTCACAATTCTACATAAGTATTTCTACCGAAAATTTCAATATAAACTCAGTAATTCTATCGAAATAATTTATTTGTTGCTTTGAAATTTACAATCTGATATCCCTATCTTATTATCGCATGCAGGTATATTCGAGCGGCACAAGCTACTGTTCTCGTTCCAAATGGACATAAAGTTGGAACAGAGTGAGGACCACGTGTCTCAGATGCAACTAGACTTCTTCATCAAAGGGAATGTCTCGCTGGAGAAATCGATTCGCGCATGTCCTGCCTCATGGATACCGGGACAGGTAAAGATAAAACGCTTAGGGCCCATTTCGCCACATAACGTTACAGATAGTTATTTATCTATCATATAACACTATCTGACAGTTAAAAGACACTGATATTATCCATCAGATAGTTGTATCTGAGACTTGTGAAACCAAAATTTGCAATTTATCTGGCAAAAAGGTTTCTGATGGGCTATCAAGGACTTTATCAGCAAGTGATGAAACTGGCCCTTAGAAGCTTACCTACTTTTAAAAGTAATAAAAACTGGTTAAATAGACTTTTATTTATTTATTTAGTGCTTCATATATAACTTTTATACTTTTATGTCGTTTACAAAATTACCATTAGGTATGTCATGAAACAATATTAAATGAATATAAATGATAATAATATATTTCCATCAGTCGTGGACAACAATCACAAGTGAACTCTTTGGTTATTATTTTACAGTTTAGCTTATTATATAATCATTATATGTAGTCTAGTCTACCTTTGGTGAAACGTAAGTTCACCATGTTGGTACCGTGGGATGATAAATAGCTAGCCTAGCATAGAAAAACTTGAATTATTGTGTTAAAAGTATATTTATTTTTCGACATAATCTCCTTGAAGCGCTATGCACTTCATTCGTCTATGCTCTAAAGCCTTGATGCCATCCCTGAAGTGGTTTTCTTTAAGCCCTTCAATATAACTGTACACGCCAGACATCACCTCGCTATTATTTTCAAATCTTTGTCCACCTAAAAAAATTTTGAGCTTAGGGAATAGATGAAAGTCAGATGGGCCAGATCAGAAGAATAAGCCGGGTGTGGTAGCAAATCATAATTTAATTCTTTGAATTTCGCCATCGCAGTGATGTACGTATGAACGCGTGCATTATCCTGATGAAAGATTTTTTTTTGCCAGGCCGGGACTTGTAATTTATCCAGTAGATCAGCATAATATTCGCCATTTATATTTCCTCCTTTTGGAAGGTAATCAATCATCAATATACCCTTCGAATCCCAAAATACTGACGCCATGACTTTCCCCGCTGATTTCACAGCTTTTGTTTTCTTTGGAGCCGGGGATCCTTTTTCCGTCCATTGTTTAGACTGAATTTTTGATTCAGGTATATAGTGGTGAACCCAAGTCTCGTCTGTAGTAACAAACCGTTGCAGAAAATCAGTTGTATTGCTCTTAAAGCGGTCCAAACATTCTTGTGAAATTTGCATACGAACGCGTTTTTGGTCAACTGTAAGCAATCGCGGCACCCACCTTGCGGATAATTTTTTCATACATAATTCTTGAGTCAAAATGCGCCCGTTCTTTAGAGATGCCTACAGTATCAGCTGTCTCGAAAAGTTTCAATCTTCGGTCAGCTAAAACTGCATCATGAATTTTGATCACAATTTCTGGAGTAGTGGCACTTTTTGGACGTCCTGGATGATGTTCATCTTGGGTTTTTTATGGTCGCATATGAAGGAGCATTTTCTCCCAAAACATCCTTCATCTCCGAAAAAATCTCTTCACCTTTTAATCCTTTTAAATGCAAAAACTTTATCACAGCTCGTAGCTCAATTTTATCCATTTTGCAGAAAAAAAGAATGCTTTATGAAATGTCAATATTTAAAAGAAAAACTATAACTAGGAACACTAGCAGCTAATGAACCAATGAGTAAAATACTAAAGAGATTTTATATAGTTATTATACAAAATATGGGTTGGACTAGCTAGTTATCATCCCGCCTACGTAACTTAATATATAAACTGTATATTAATAGGTTTTCGTCTATGAAATTGCCGTTCTGCCGTACTGGCCATTTCAAATCAAAATATTTTTTTGGCTGATAATTCTAATTTCAAATTAATTTTATTTTAAAAACATGGAATTCTTTTTTCTAAAATCGTCATTTATTTAATAGCTTTTGTTTTGTTTTCAACGCATTCGATCATTTTTCGTCGTCATGGATAAGTTAAAAATTTGAGTAATTATGGAGTATGAGTTCCGTCGTGGCAGCAAAGCGGCACAAGCGGCACGCAAAATCAACGACGTTAACGAAGCGAACACTATAAACGAACGCACCACCCGGTATGGGTTTGCCCGCTTCCGTTCTGAAAATTTTGACCTGAAAAGTGAAACCCGTTGTCGTGCAAAATCTTTGACAATGACGAATTAAAGGTGATTGTGGAAGCTGATGAAACTCAATCTACAGCCGCATTATCAGCAGCTTTCAACGTTAGCATCAAAACAATATTGGTTCATTTCCGTCAAATTGGCAAGGTAAAAAATCTTGACAAATGGGTACCACACGAACTCAGTGATCACCAGTGCGAAGTACGCGTCGAGATGTGCCTTGCACTGCTCAACAGGCATACAAATGAATGAATTCTAAATCGCATTGTTACTTGTGACGAGCAATGGATTCTGTTCGACAATCGTAAGCTCTCAGCAAGTTGGTTGGACCCTGATTCAGCACCTAAACGACACCTTAAACGTAAAACTTGATTTGCCTTTGATTATTAGAAATAAAAAAAACACTGCATTTATTTCATGAAAAACGGCAATTTCATAGGTAAGGACCTAATATATATTTCATGCCAATTATGAACTCAGCTTGCTGGGGCCTGCTCGCTGGATGCGGGAGGCGCAGGACCGATCACGTTGGAAATCTTTGAGGGAGGCCTATGCCCAGCAGTGGGCGTCTCTCGGTTGATATGATGATGATGATGATGAACTCAGCTTGAAAACAAAGATTTAATAATAATTTATATCGAGCCTTTAATAATTTTGAAAGTGTTATTCAATTAAGTAATTATTTCCATATTTACGAAATATTATTTATTCCTGTTTTAGAGTTGGCAAGATATAATGAAACTAAGCGCAGACTTTGAAGTATTTTCTTATCTACCCGACGATATAACCAGAAATATTGACGCATGGCAAGAAGTGAGTACCTACTCCTATTTGACGTTGAACCCCTAATTAAAAATATTCATATAAAATTATTATGGTTTAAAAACGTTTTATTAAATATCAATTGCTTCTTAAAAAGACGTGGCTTGGTCTCCCACTACTTCTATATCCTTCCAATTGCATATTTTCATATCTCTTAATTCAACCTGAGAGAGTTTTTTGTAAATTCTGAATAATGATCAGAATTTAATGCATTAATTCTATTTTCTTCTTCGATCAACATGCGTTCTCTAAAATATGAAACTCTTGGAACTTTTAAAGTTAAATCGTATCACAATAATTTATTTCGGACATTTTATATTGATAAAAACGAAATCATAAAATATCTCCAGTAAAAACAAATGGAAAGTGACGCACCTTATGTCGATATTTCGCTGTTAATAGTGGTTCGATAGCGACACTCCTGAATCAAACGAGATCCCGAACAACTATCGGGACAAGCTCGATCCGTTCGAGCTGTTGATGTTACTGCGTTGCTTCCGCGTGGATCGCATCTACCGAGCCCTCACTGATTACATTACCGTCACTATGGGCGAGGAGTATATTACCCCACCCGTAATCAGGTTTGTTAATACATACAAATACTATGCGTATAGTGTGTGTGTGCGTGTGCGTGTGTGTGTGTGTGTGTGTGTGTGCGTGTGCGTGTGTGTGTGTGTGTGTGTGTGCGTGTGCGTGTGTGCGTGTGCGTGTATGTGTGTGAAATTAACATTTTCATGCCTAAATTAGAATAGCTATTCTCGTGAAAAGTTGGCCTACCAAAAGCATCGAAACAAAGGATGAAAATACGAAGAGCGATAATAACCGCATACTACGCAAGCCAAATCTTGGCGCAATGCTAGTGAATTATAAAACCTAGTATGATTGCTGCACATTGATGTAAAGGCTGAAACACTTTCGCATGATGCATCCACTCTTTTACCCTGTAGAATCAACCTTTTCTTTATGACAGCGGTTTTCAATTTCTTCTTATGATCGAACCATTTGGAAGCAAAAAATAAACCTAGTTTTATGTATACTGTTTTTTATTGATAGTGAATGTAATACATATTGTGTAAAATATATATGTAATACATATTTTGCTTTAACTCCGAGCAATACATAAGAGGTTTTTTTTTAATTTAACCCGACCGGGAACCAATACTGGAATCTCAGAAATGGCAAAACCTTTAATAAGTAAAGTTGCAGTGATATGCCCTATACGTTGTCGATGTATTGTATCACAGCTTAGACATGATCGTGGAGCAAACGACAGCGTTCACTCCCGTTGTATTCATACTGAGTCCCGGTTCGGATCCCACTGCTGATCTGATGAAGCTGGCGGACAGATGCGGCTTCGGTGGAGGCAAATTCAAATACTTGTCTCTTGGACAGGGCCAGGAGGGGGTAAGCAAACATTTCAAATATTAATTAATGTTATAGAAACTCCCCTATAAGAAAGCTTGCCAGCTTTTTAATGTCCCAACTGCGGGCCTTCCATGAATGGATTCATATTAAGAGAATTATTAATAAACCCTCAACAGAATAAACTGAAGACGAAATAAAAATTACGGCTTAAAATACGCCATATAGATTTTCACCACAGCCCCTTCACAGCTTGTCCATAAAAATTGTATTAAATGTTGTTCTAATGTCACATTTCATTGACTAATATAGGCATATATATAAATATAATATAGGCAAGGGGCCCCCTCGGCCCCTTGCCTATATTATACCGATAGATAACCTTCAATAGATACCGCATGATTTATTTGTTAGAAAAATAAACATGCCAATCTTAGCGGTGGGGAAGGTGGCGGGCGTGGTAGCTGCGGTGATGCTATTGGCTAGAACAAAGACACGTATTCCGTAGTGATGTGAACCTTAATGTATTAAAGGCATGTCGATAATTGATCGATATTAAATGTTACTATTACATGTCATCAAAAATTTATTTTATTCAATTTATTTTGATTTTATTCACAATTAATAACACTATAAACTAATTGATGGACAAGGCATCCAACGGCAAGGCTTCAGTGAGCGCGATCACTCAATCACTAACTTTCAATCAATCGGTGAGAATAACTGTCAAAAAACGATTTTGTACAAAAACATATATGTTTCAATAAGTTTTGATTAAAAATGGGAGAAAATCATAACATTTTAGATATCCAATCACAACAAAAACACCCATAGCAAAAAAAAATAGTTTCGCAAAAAATCACCTTTCTTACATTTCTTGTAGCACCGGTTTACCTGCCACACTTTCTAATTAAAAGCTACAATAAAATGCACTAGACACAAAACATACATAAAAATGAAAGTGTTGCGCCACTGCACGCATATAAAAAAAATACAAAGTGGATCTTATAAGCATTTTACACTATAAATATTTTTCAGTAAAAAAGTGACTTAATAACAAGCTTTTATTTGTACGCACTAATACGTAAATAAATAATATTTTCATAAAATTTAAGATAAAGAGGTAAAAAAACAAATAAATTTTATCGTTGTAATGAAAAATTATACTATCTTTCTAGATTTCTTCCACACCGTTTAGCATTACAACTAACCATGCCATGGTTAACCCAATAACTTCTTCATTATAAAGAAAACTTAGTTGCATTCGCATACGTGTATTACTACTTTTGTTAAAACGATCTATGCAGAATCGTAGATGCTTGGTTACAGCTTTCTGTCTTTCGTGCGGCATCTATTGGAGGTTTTCTGTGATTATAACTTATTTTACATATGTGTTTTAACATACATAGTCATAAGATAAATATTAACATTTTCCACAGGCAGCCCTAGCGTTGTTAGAAGGCGCCATCTCGCACGGCCAATGGCTTATTCTGCAAAACTGCCATCTACTCGTGTCTTTCCTACGCGAACTTGAGAAACAATTAGAGCTGTTGGAAAAACCACATCCAGAATATCGTCTATGGCTCACTACTGACCCTACGCCAACATTCCCTATCGGTATTCTGCAACGATCGCTCAAAGGTTTGTATTATTATACTAACTATTTTTCCGTGACTTTGCCTGCGTAAGTTATAGCCTATGTCACCCGTGTATGATGTAGCATCCTGCAGGTAAAATAGTATTGGATCAGTATTTCCGGAGATTACTGTCCGAAGATCTGCCTGATCTTAAGCAGAAAAACACATAGCTAGTCGTTGCTGAAATATATAAAAAAACTTCTTTGATAGTGATTACTACTTCAATTTCTTAACTTAAGATCCATAAAACTTTACTTATTTACATTATAACGTCATTATTTACTTTACAATACACTCCTATGTAATACTTTACCCCACGCGGCATCTGTTAGAGCGAGATGAAAGATCCCGCTTAAACTAGCGCCATCTCGTACTACCCACTTCCATAGTAACTTGTAGGGTAAGCAAATAATTATTACTATAAGACCCCTCTATACTAGAGAGATATAATAAGTTGGTATGATTTTAATTTTACATACAAATATAACTTAAACTATTTTCTATATAATTTATATCAAACAAACTTAATATTAACAAACAAAGAAAGTTTGAAATTTTACCTCTTTATATATTAGTATAAATAATTTATCTCTCTAAAATAAATCCAATTTCAAAGTGAAGCCCCTCTTTGATACCGACTTCGAGCCTGTTTTGATATTTCCTTGGGTCTGGATGTTGTGGTACTTTCGTTTTTATTTTTCATAGTAAAAGTGCTTCAGCTACTTCATATGGATTTATTTACATTCGTGAATGATCTAATATATTGTGAACAGTGGTAACAGAGCCCCCTAACGGCTTGAAGCTGAATTTACGGAACACATACTTCAAAATGCGCGCTCACGCACTAGAGGAGTGTCCGCACTGGGCGTTCAAAAAATTAGTTTACGTTCTCGCCTTCTTCCACGCCGTCGTACAGGTATATAAATAATAAATATATTATTTTTCTTAATTGAAAAGTTTTGTAGATTCAGTTGTTACAGAGTTTACATTACAAAAATTAACTTTATGAGAAAGTACAATATAGTAAAGAGCCATAGAAGCCTGAATTGCAGACAGCCACTAACAGCAATAGAAGTTACAGAAATTGACTTGCGCAAGTAACTTCCATTGTGTAAAGACTCGTGTAAGGGGATTTAAATGTAAGTGACTGACCGAATTTGCTGCAAGTATCACGTGTTGATTTGACGTGTTGATATTCTATTTGTCTTCGAACGAAAATTCAAAAAACTTCGAGGTGTTTTTATAATTTTGTTAAAAAACGTATTAGTGAAAAATGTGGTCATTTGGAATCGTATTAGCATTTCAAAAATTGATTATGCCTTCAGATGTCATGTTCAACTTCGATTGCAGGAGAGGCGCAAATACGATAAGATCGGTTGGAACATCTCGTACGACTTCAGCGAGTCTGACTTCGTAGTGTGTATGCAGATCTTGCAATGCTATCTGGAACGTTGTCACGCAGCCAAAGGACCAATACCCTGGGCCACACTTAAATATCTCTTCGGAGAGGTGAGGAAGAATTGATAAATATTTAAGGGATTTCGTAACTGAGGAGACGAATTGAGAATCCTTACAATAATCTTATTTGTTCGCAAGTAATTACAATACGGCTGCATTTGCAATCGTTAATATCCTCCTATCCGCAATGGGCCAGCGTGGAGGGTCATGGCCCATTCTCCTTAACCATCCATAAGGAAGGCCTGAGCCCCTGCTATGGGGACGTAAAAGGGCTGATGATGATGATGAATTACAATAAGGATAAATTAATAAAAATACTTTAGTTTTTCAATATTAACATCTATACAATATACATACATATATAAATCAATATCGAAAAAAAATCTTAGCTTAGATCTTTCAAACGACATAATATCTATGTGTCTATCTGTCTCATTGATTAGTCTGTTGATTATATTTATGTCTCGTTGTCTCTTTTCTATACAAATTTTATAAAAAGGAAATATTTTAGTGTATATTTGCATTGAATAGGCTCCGAAACTAATGGAACGATTTTAAAAATTCTTTCACCTACGCAACACACTAGTGACATAGGCTATAATGTACCCGAGTGAAGTCGCGGGAAACTGCTAGTTCTTAATAAGACAGCGCGTTTTAAAATTGGCTTTAAACAAAATAATTTTGAGTAATGTTGCACTTATAAAATATGTAGATTAAAGGCCTTATTAATAAGTAATGTGTAAACGTTGTGTAGTTATAGTCTTTTGTCTTTTTCGCTCAAGCTGAAAGTCACATTGGAATAATGAGAACAGGGCTATGTGTAACTAAACAACGGTTATAAGTTTGTGTCTAGTTACGATATTATTGTTAAAGTTACTTGGTAATTATTTTGATACTAGTGGCCGCCAGCGACTTCGTCCGCGTTTTCCATTATTTCTTCACTCCTAATAGTTGCAGCGTGATGTTATATAGCCTAAAGCCTTACTCGATAAATGGTCTATTCAACACAAAAAGTTTTTTTCAATTCGAACCAGTAGTTCCTGAGATTAGCGCGTTCAAACAAACAAACTCTTCAGCTTTATAATATTAGTATAGATTTATGTGTTAATCGGTCAGGTGATGTACGGTGGTCGTGTGATAGACGACTTCGATCGTCGCGTGGTTCGCACCTACATGGAGGAATACATGGGTGACTTCCTGTTCGACAAGTTCCAGCCGTTCCATTTCTATCACGACTCCACCTTCGATTACGTCATACCACCAGACGGGGAGCGTGACCAGTACATTGGTAATAATATATCATGCTTACTTCCATGAATCACACCCGGTCACCAAAATTATGTTGATAGTCAATCTTTTATTTTTATCACTTGATATTGGTTAGTGATGAACTCGATAGCGCAATGGTAACCGTGTTTGGTCCACAAAGCGGAAGTTAAGCGACTTTCGAAAGGACAGGTCATGGGATGGGTGACCAAAAATGTATTATCTCTAGCCCCTTCTTGATTCGTAGGCATGTTAAGCCAATAGAGAGGCATCTGCAGTCGTTTATACCAATCCGATACGGGCCTTCGTAGTGGTTCAGGCCAATGCCCCAGTAGTGGGAATAATTATAGGCTGACGATGATGACAAATGATATTGAAGTCGTATAATAAAAAGAAAAACCATTTAAAGTAAAGGATGTAATATAGAACGTAGCGATATCACATTGCAAAAATTTAGTACCCTGTAATAATATGGTAATTTTTGTTGCCAGAATTTATTGATGTGTTACCACTGGCTAACACGCCTGAAGTGTTCGGTTTACATCCAAACGCTGAAATTGGATACTTCAGTCAGGCGGTGCGTATGATGTGGGGACATCTTATCGAACTACAGCCACAGACAAGTAAGTTATCATTCATATTCTAATAATGGAATATGAATATTTTTAATTGCATTAAAAAAGAATTTTGCAAGAACAATTAAAATGTTTCAATAATTTACTGAGACATGAACGTGCAAAATCTCAATTAAATGTATATAGATGTCACAGCCAACTGGTTAAAATAGTCGTTCAATTGGACTGCTAGTCATTTAAGTGAATGGCGCCATTCAATTGTACGCCTAGTTTTCTAGTTGTATCATTATGACATGGACCGTTTAACAAGACGGCTGTTTCAAAAGCCACACAAGCTAGAATTATGTATTTGAATATAAACAGCATACTGTTTACACAATTTTCTATGCATGTACAGTCAACTGCACGTCAGACTAAACAATTCTGTCTAATGTTCAAAAATTCGATTGTAAACTTTAACTTATTGAATGTAGAGGTAAAAATCCATTAATTAGAAATTTGACATATTTTTGTAACCTGTACACACGCAGCCGTGTGTACATGTTATTTCTGTAGAAAGGTGTTAATTTAATTAATAACCAATTTAATTTCACGCTGCTAGTTAGCAAACAGGAGGTTATAAGAAAAGGTAGGTGCTGATATTACGACGCTACATAACATTTATAACAAAAATATATTTCCTAAAAAAAAAAAAAAAATTTGGTATTCAATAATTAATGATATATGTACACACAAAATAAGTAATATTAAAAACGTGTTGTGCTTTAAGTTTCTTTAAAAAAATATTTAACATTTTTAAGATTTAAATTGAATACATATAATGTGTTAGAGACAAATAAATTGATGTAAAACAATAAATTCTAAGACAAATTTGTGGTGTATGTTGTATTTTATTAATATGAAGTATATAATTCGTATTTTTTTTTTTATTTATTAAGAAGCCCTACACTCGTTGAGTAATTCAGGGCCTTACCCTACTCTGTATATCAATTTATTATTTATTGCATAAATAATTTATCGCTTTCATGTAATTTAACTAGGTGACTCCGGCGGCGCTATGAGCCGTGAAGATTTTATTGACACGATCGCGGTGGACATACTTGGTAAACTGCCGGCCCTCTACGAGATCTGGCGTGTTCGAAAACAGTTTGAGATGAATATCACACCCACCCTAGTCGTACTTCTTCAAGAACTAGAGAGGTATGTGAAATTTTTATCAATAACCAGTTAGTGATTGGATCGCGGCCAAAATTCGATCTTATAGTTTGAGTGACTTTTTAGTAGCTGTGTTTTGAGTATTATTAAAATTTTCTTAGATGAAGTATCTGGTACAGTTTCATTACCAAAGAGTATAACTACTTCTTTGATTTGAAATACCTAAGTTTTAAATTTTTGTGAAATATTTTCGAGTATTCCCTGGGTGCGAAATACTAGGTGGATGTAATGCAATCCAACGCAGCTCTCGTGGTGGCTGTGAAAAAGTGAAAACATTGCAAGCTTTGCCATCTGTTATACCATACTATGTACTTATATTTCTTTGTACTAAATTAATGTGAAAACTGTTTACGGTTTATAATATATAAACAAAAATAAACTTTTTTTTTAAATTTTAAGTTTAATCTAAATCATATTTTTTTATCAAACCAACATTACATTATATACTTACTAGCTTTCCGCCAGCGGCTTCGCCCGCGTGGTCTTGTATTATACATAAAAACCTTCCTTTTGAATAACCCTATCTATGAAAAAAATCGCATCAATATCCGTAGCATAGTTTTAAAGATTTCAGCATTCATAGGGATATAGGGACAGAGCAAGCGACTTTGTTTTATACTATGTAATATTTTAAAGTAAAATAACATAAAGTAATGTTTATTCTTTTATAACTTAGGTGCTTTAATCGTGATTATGAGTTCTAAAAGAGATTAATTACCTGCTTTAAAAAAATACGCATTACAAGGTATTAAAGCTTTTATTTTATATTGTGAGTGATACATACAAACCTGGTCCTCAAAATAATACTCATTTCGATCTAAAAAACCATTGTTAATTTATTTCTAACGATACAAAAATAATTGAATACGTTTACTATTATTTAAAGAAATCATCAAAGGTACTTTACAGTTGGGTTATTGTAATAGGCCACATTTAGCAACTCTTAGTCTTCAACTTCAAAATAACCTTGTAATGTAGTAAACATTTTATAATATTTTTTTTCTTCAAAGTTACGGCAAAGGGATAATTGCAATCTAAACGCCGCTACAATGTTATATCTGTGGACCCGTTAACTTTTTCACAGAAAGGACATATAAAAAAAATCGGAAAGATGGTTTGGTTACTTTAATAATAAAAATGAACCAATAACCAAATTGAGATTCCTCTAAACACTAAAATATTGTTAAAATTATAAACAATTTTGAACTCCAAAAATATATCACTATATTTGCATTTTTTTTTAATAACAAAAATATTGACAATAAATATAGGCAGATATGCGCGACCGGGTTGCATTTCTAACCACTTGCACTATCGAAATCTTTATTAAACTCATATGCAGTTGACTTTGTAATGGTGTTCAAAATAGCTGGTTACATTTAAGAGGACGCATACACCAAACTCAATTGGTTTTGTTGTACCACTTTTTTATGAATGAAAACATGTTTTTAAGGAATTTGTCATATCCAAAACGTGAGTTTGTTCAATTTTAACTAAATAACAACGTTTTTGAAATTTTCAATTTACTCTAATTCGTCTAACAGTTTTTGACGCGCAATGCGACATCGTGTGTCCCTATTTATTTGCCGTAGGCGATGAGATACAAAGGTGTTTAAGATTTATATTCACTCTTTTAAGTTTTTGCATTGCATTACATTACGCATTCTAAACTAATTTGAACGTAATTCATTTACTATCAGTGACTTTCTTCTTGTTACAATGACGACACAGTACATTTTAATAATGAATATCACGAAGTAAAATAATATATTGATGATAATCATAAAATTTATATTAATTTAGCACAATAACTTCATTCCAATCACATTTCTTTGAAAACCATACAGACCCATTAAATTAATCGAATATTTTAAAAGGACTCCTCACTATCAAGTTCAGATTGATATATGTCCAATGTGGCTTTTTATAATGACCCGATTGTAATTTCTTGCTAAAAAAAAGTAAAATAAAATAAATTTGCAGCTAAAAAATGAGCTAAATCATTTCTGACTTAACCAAAATAAAACACATTTTTACAATAAAATTTAGTTACCTTATTTAATTTGAATGATGAAAAAAATTGGATCCCCTCTGAATATTAACAGAAATTACCCAAATCACAGTACCGTGGTAGTTTTTTAATATAAATAATAGATAGTTGCTGATTTTAACGACCACTCTCGCTAACTCTCCAGCGCGGAAATGTTACTGTAAATCCGGGCAAAAATTAACCTTATTATCGAGTTCGAGTCCACCGAGAACCGTCTATGGCCGCGATGCGCGCGTTAACAAACCACTTTATTATTTGTGTTTCCATTGCTTTAGCTCATTCTTATGTATACATAACGTGTAATGTTTGTAATATTTTCTTTATTAATTTTATGTATTTTAAGCATTATTACGAAAAAAAAACAATTCTGCACATAAGCATCACATAAACCATAACTATGAATTAATTTTGTTCAAGTTATATGTGAAATAAATATTAATGTATATGTATATTATTATGAATACTTCATTAAATGGTTAAATAACTCTGCCTACACAACACTGCTTCGAAATAGTTATTGTTATTTTATTAAAGCAGAATTATAATTATTATATTAGAACGCAGCATGCCGGTATCATGTGCTACATACTATAGTAGTATTAGGCCATCGATGCTGGAAATATCACTTTAGTAACGTGCTATACATCGCGTGGTCGTTATACAGCGACATCTTTCAATCTTATTAGGAAATATACAAGTGTTTGAAATGGCAGCATTATGTTTCATGTATAAACATAAGGATATGATATGTCGATAGATGGCGTTGAAAAGTATATTCACAGAATTTCATAGAAATGTATCGAAACTTGAATCGCGTTTATGAAGTTTAAAAGTGCACTAAGTATATATACAATTCTTTTAGAAGTCCAAATGTACTTGCTTCGGCAGTACATATACTAAAATTGGAACGATACAGAGAAGATTAGCATGGCCCCTGCGCAAGGATGACACGCAAAATCGTGAAGCGTTCCACATTTTTTGGATTTTCCATACTTGATTTTAACTTGTATAAATCGACTTGTCATTGAAATAAATCATTTATTTGCTAATGATGGTCAACTTATATTGATATAGCGGATTTACTTAATTAACGGTCAGTTGCACAAACGTCCATTAAGGTTTTATGAAGCCTTTAAACTTTAATTAATGTCAAATTTATATGGGTAATGTCGCTTTAAACTAATGACGTAAGTCATTTATTTATATTAAGTATGTACCTACTTCATCACACTATAAAACACCGTATGGGCAAAATAAATACACCTAACTAAGCTAGTGCATAACCCTATAACTCGTACGAATTAATATGACGCCTGAGATTCTATTTGTTCACAATTTTCAGAAAATCATATCCGTAAATTATCACTAAATCAGAGGCAGATCCTATCAGTTATTGACTTTCCGAAAATAGATGAAATTTGGGCAAAATAAATACACCTAACTAAGCTAGTGCATAACCCTATAACTCGTACGAATTAATATGACGCCTGAGATTCTATTTGTTCACAATTTTCAGAAAATCATATCCGTAAATTATCACTAAATCAGAGGCAGATCCTATCAGTTATTGACTTTCCGAAAATAGATGAAATTTCGTCTTCGCAGAAATAGAATAGGCCGTCAGGCAGTTGCATGTCAATTCGTACGAGTAGTATGTGATTAAACTTGCCATTTTCTCTTTTTTTTATTTAATAAAGTTCAATACTATTTCGAGTATATCAATCGGGTACATAAAATATTAATATCGTCTTGATCTGCAGATTCAACCGTTTGATAAGCAAAATGCGCAGCACACTGTCGCTACTGCGTAAGGCGTTAGCGGGCGAGATTGGTATGGACGCGATATTGGACAACGTTTCGTACAGCTTGTTTAACGGCCAGCTGCCGCAAGTGTGGCGCAGTCTCGCGCCGGCCACGTGCAAAGGGCTGGGAGGGTGGATGGACCATTTTACTGAACGCACTAAACAGTATACCGACTGGGTAATTATAGTGACTATGTATACCTACGAAATATAGATCAAAAACGTAAACTGTAGTTATATAATGATTATAAAATCCAAGGTTTGACTTGAAAATATAATGAAATAAAGAAAAAACTCTTTTCAATGCCGTTTTGAAATAAGAATAATAAAAACTCTTTTTACTTCTGATAATAATGGAGTCTACGCAATTGCCACTGCGAAATAAACAGGCGCATGGCATAGCCAAAATACATACAACTAAGTAAATTGTATTCTTGTAATATTTCAAATCTAAAATTAATAGATATGCATTAGGTACTTTCAATTTGCTCGCATAACCTAATCAAAAATATTAACAGAAATCGTCTAATAAATCTTTTACTCATAAAGCAAACGGAAATATTACCTATAATATACCCATATAACTTTGCAGTTGCATACCTGTAACCTCTTATTTACCTATATCTATCCTAATATTACATAGGAAAAAGGCGATTGTTCGTTTATATTGAAGAGGTTCCTGACGTTGAAAGTACTGGATAGATTTTAGTCTTTTTCTTATGATAAATTACCTACATCATACACATATGACATAGGCTATTTACGTAGCCAAAAACGCGGAAAAACTGTCATCTATGTATTAAATATATAACTCGACCTTTATTCTCGACTGCAATCGCGACCGATCGACATTCTGCACTCATGATTGGTACACTAGAACACTCAGGCGCTAGTGTACCCAACCAAGAGTAAAAATAATGTGAAAATTTTCAGTAAGATTGTCCATTCGCAAACGTCATCAATGCTTAATTTTCATCTCCATGCTTGATTTCGAAAATGCCAATGGCAGGCGACGATGGAGGAACCAGTGGTGATTTGGCTGTCGGGACTGCACATACCGGAGTCGTATCTCATCGCGCACGTTCAGATCGCGTGTCGCCTGTACACGTGGCCACTCGACCGCTCCACGCAATTCACAAGAGTCACCAAGTGGCTATCACCTGACGACATCGAGGAACGACCGGTCACGGTAACAATCATCTCATCATCATAATCATCAGCCCTTTTACGTCCCCACGGCAGGGGCTCAGGCCTTTCTTATGGATGGTTAAGGAGGATGGGCCATGACCCTCCACGCTTGCCCAGTGCCCTCCACGCTTGCCCAATTGGAGAGTATTAACGACTGCAAATGTAGCTGGGACCAACGTCTTAACGTGCCTTCCGAAGCACGGAGTAACTCGTGATAATATTTTTTTGGTCATCCATCCCGTGACCCTTGCGAAAGTTGCTTAACAACAACGATCGCGGGCCGCAGCGCTTATCCACTACGCCACCGAACAATCTTCATAAAGAGGTTTTTTCTAACTTTATTTGTTTCTACAAATCCTTACCCAAGATCTCCTCTGATAATCATCTGAAAATCCTTTCATCTACCGAAATAGATATTACGTCATACCCAGATGATTAGCTTATAAGTAGGCTATAAGTTGCGGGAAAACAGCTAACACATTTCGATTCCATAATAAATATTTCTCTAACACATAAATATTTAGCTAGCGTACATATTCTAAAACCGGAATAATAATTAAATATTAGACAACGTCACATACATTGATCAGATTTCAAGATGAGTAGCTAAAGTCCCCGTATTATGGAGTATTTGAGACAAAAAAAAGAAGGTAAACGTAATTTCCTTTTAGCAAAGCGTTTGTTTTAACATGGAAATAATCGCAGCGAAAAAGAAACCAAGTTTAGATAGTTGATCCATAAAATGACTGGATAAAATCATATTTCTAACTTTTCTAACCCTTGTTTATTTATAAAACAATTTCTAATACTGTTTTATTATAAATTGGCCCTTATGCATTACATTATAAAATATAATTTATAATGTAATGCATAAATTCTTTGGAACTTTATAGGGGTGCTATGTCCGGGGGTTATACTTGGAAGGAGCGCGTTGGGATCTTGAAGATGGATGCCTCAGAAGATCTCATCCTAAAGTGCTGGTCACTGAATTGCCGATCATGTACATCATTCCAATAGAGTTCCACAAACTGAAACTGCAGGTGATAAACTAAGCAAAGATGAGACTCACTAAACTTATGAAAAGATTATAAACGATCGTTTTATAAATGTCTAATGCTGCCATCATAAGATCAAAGCGGAACTTAAAAATAATTGTCCGCCTTTTTTACATTGATATAGCTAATAAATTCTGTCACACAAACAAACATATTTTTTGAGACACTACTTTACTTTGGGGCAGAATAGTAATTCAACCATTTTAAATATTATTATATTTTTTATTCACAGAACACATTAAGAACACCTGTATACACTACATCAACCAGAAGAAACGCGATGGGGGTCGGGCTTGTTTTTGAATCAGACTTATGGACTGCAGAGCATTGCAGTCACTGGATTCTCCAAGGAGTCTGCCTCATCATGAATACAGACTAAACTTTTTAAAAAATAAGAAAGTTAGAGCTAAATTAACTTATTCAAATATATTTATATGATACGGGCTTATTATATGCTATATCTAAGGACCATGGCCCTGATAGAGTTGTGACAACACATTTCCATGGTTTACTGCGGTTGATTGCCCATATGGAACTACACTACTAAATCTTGATCACTGCTTCAATATTTTGGTAAACATGTCCTTTCCAGGAATTCATTATTTCAAGGAGTTCATAACTCAGATTTACTGTTTCGGTTGGCTAATTTTTCGAGTTTTGGATCCGCCCTTAATTATATGTACTTTATATTTTAATTTCTTTGTAAGAAATAATAGAATTACATGTAGTTAGGAAAATATTTATTTCATAGAGTATTATTACATATTAAATTACAAAGGCCCAAGAGGTACAAAAATTAATTTTAATTTAGAGAGATTTCCAATCTCAATTTTATTTCTATTTTAATTATTTTACTTTATGATATTATTGCATATGTTGTAAAAATAAAGACTGATTTATTTACACTAAAAAATATTATTTTTAACTGGCCTTTATACTTTTTATCTGCGGCAAGCATAGATTGTAAAATGAAGAGCTAATGAAATCTTTCAGTGGTTGCCACTTTACCCAACCTTTCCTTTGGAGAAATTCTTTTGACTCTTCTTTACCAACATAATGAGGGTCCTGTGAAATAAGTGTATTTCTGTAAGTATATATATTCATCATCACCGTAGTAATGGCCCTACTGTGGGGACAGACTCTCTCCCTAAGAAAATTAAACAGGTTGTTATAGACCCGCCACTGAAAGCATCTGGTGCAAATTGATATACCTTCTAAAGTATGAGGGACTCTGAATAATAAATTTGCAGTCATCCATCCTGTGACCCTCTATTGCAATAGTTGCTAAGTCTGTGTAATGTGCTAATCTCTGCACCAACTAGCTCCTTGTTGGTTTATTGCATACAATTTACAAAGCCATTGATCAATCATATCTAGATCCGTAGTTTCCTATAGGATATATTATACAATTTGGAGTTTTGTAAAATGTTACAAATTATTACAGTGATGGGAGAAATTTGTATAACATGTTCTGTAACATCAGTTTTTTTTTATTTGATTAAAGAAATAGTGAAGCAACCTCTCTCAAACTGAGCAATCTTTTCCTTTAAGATTTATGAGGAATTGCACAATGTTCTTAATACAAAATACTTAAAAAATCCACTTGGTCCCTGGCATCCTGAGATGGCATTCGAACCCACAACCTTTCCCAATCCGGCGACTGCTCTAACTGCTGAGCTACCCAGGACCTAACAGGACTGACAAATCTTTCAAGCACTTGTTACTTTTCGCTACTATAGAGCGTATTCTTATCAATGTTCAGGCATCCACCCAAACAGCTGAAAAAAATATTATTACAAATATTGATAAGAATCTGTTCTAATTATTATTATATGTTATCAATTTCACATTCACAATGCTATACCGAAAAATATTCCCCTTGGTCCCTGGCACCCTGAGATGGGATTCGAACCCATGACCTTTCACAATAGGCGCAATAGGCCCTATAATAAGTTCAAGTTTATGATGGGTTGGTGCAGTGTAATACTACAATCGAAAGAAAATACCTACCACTACTAATAAACTGGCATCACCATCGACAACTTGGATACCCATAATGCCTTTTGAAGAGCAATCTATATCGCCGCCCATCATCACTGGGCTTCCAAACTTCTTGAAGTGGTCCATCAGAGTATCTACAATGTAACTAAGTTCATCTCCTTTATTGACATGAATGATTTTACATGGAACGTCATAATATGTGTCTATCACTAAACAAGCCTGAAATTGAAAGTTTACATAATCTGTTACAAAAGCATAGACAGCTTACTTTTGTAGAATAAAAATATCTTGCTAGCCACAAAACTCCTCAATAATAGGCCATACATCATTACACCATGAAAATAACAAAAATATCCCAATCTTGACTTCAACATTTGTCAAGAGTTTAATTTTCTTAACAGCAAAAGTTGCAGAACTCAGTCTACTTGACAAGTTATCAGTATGAGGATCCCATTGCAGTCGGGAATCTAGTGTAATACCAAGAAACTTAGTTGATTCTACCAACTCAACTTTTTCACTATTTACATTTACTTGTACTTTCAATTGAGCTTTAAATTATTATTATCAAACCGCTGTAGAACATTGTCCAAACCATCATAAACAGCGCTTTATTGCACTACAAAAGAACTGTGTTAAAAAATCGCGACCGCTACTCACTTCAAAACTTCCAATCCATTGCTTTGAATTCAAAAACGATTTTGGTTTATCATTGATTTGAACTAATGTCTCTTGGATTTTTGGTATAGAAGGTACGCTTTGTTTATCACTGTAGTTTTCATTCATCCATGAGCATATTGTTTGGAGTGTTCTGTAACCACAACCCCAACCCTGAAACAAATCTAAATTTTGAAACTGAAGACACTATGTGCACCTCAGGTTAGAAAGCATCCATATTTTAAGAAATATAACACAATATTTAAATACTTTACTCTATCGTCAAATCCATCACATTTATAATGATAGTACTGATAGTCGCCAGATACTAAACAATATTCTGCAAAAGTTTTTAAAGTCCTAAGATCTTCGTGGACATTTTTTGTTAAACTCAAATTATTTTTTTTTTTTTTTTTTTTTTTTTTTTTTTATTTGGCTTGCACTGTTTGTGCTTAGCCATTGTCAAAGTTTGGGAAACGGAAACGAAAGGAAATAGAAGTTGGAACGGATTTTTTATGGGATAGGTTCAGGAGGCTTAGGAATTAGGAGAAGGAAGATATATTTACACAATTTTATAATACATATATAGAATAGGTTAGAGTTTAATATTATTTAAAATTATATATGATACTATGCAATTATAAATGGATAGGTTATTAGTGGATAGTAAGGAAACGATTGATGTCGGGAAAGGAACACGGAGAGACAATAGGTCATTAAGGAAGACCGTGCGATCGTAACGTATACAAGCAAAAAAGATATGGTTTAAATCTCCAGTATCCATCCCACACTCGCAGGCAGCATCATTAATGATTCCAAGTTTGGCTAAATGTGCTGGAGAACAAACATGTCCAAGACGCATACGTGAAAGAGTACTTGTAGCAGTCCTTCCATACTTCGCTTTTCGAAACCAAGGTTTATGTAAGATATCAGGTTGAATTAGAAAATAGTGTTTTCCTTTGAATTTACTACTAGTGGTCCAATCAGTATTCCATTTGGTCTGTAAGCAGCGCATGGGCAAAGATAGCAGATCTTGGCTATAATTTTTATAAGGAAACATATCACCACAATTTACTGCATCTTTAGCTAGATGATCAGATATTTCGTTTCCAGTAATTCCACTATGGCTCGGTAACCATGCAAACTCCACCAAGTAACCTAATGAACAACATTTTAATAAGCAGCTCCTTATTTCAAATATGACAGGTAAGTAAGAGCGATTACAGAATGGAAATTTAGATAAAGCTTGAAGAGAGCTCATGGAATCAGTGAAAATTATTGTTTTCTTGAGTTTCATTAGAATCACGTATTCTACAGCTTTTAATAGACCCAAACATTCTCCTGTAAAGACGGATGACTCTGGAGGAAGCTTAATTTTTTGTGAAATATTGTACTGAGAATGATAGACTCCAATACCGGTACATTCTGTAAAGGTGGATTTGGAAGCATCACTAAACACGTGATTATAGTCATTATAATTTGCCTCAATAACAGATTTAAATGTAATGTTCGCGTTGTTATCATCTTTAACAATTAAATCATATCGAATTAAAGGGGAAAGTTGTAAAGCATCAAAATTTACGCTAAATATGGGGAGACAATTGGATCGATGGGTAGGAGCTAAAAGATTTAAATATTTTTGATAACTTATTATCAAGCAAGGACGTGATTTATGGATCCAATAATTATTAGTTTCGATTTCTATATTCAAGGACTCAAGCAGCTGGAACAGAGGATGGTTAGAGAATTGTATAGCACTGAATATAAATCTATCAGATAGGTATTGACGTCTTAAACTCAGTGGGGGGTCACAAGCCTCAATTTGTAACGCATTTATAGGGCTAGATTTCATAGCGCCAATTATTATTCTAAGGGCCTTGGATTGGATGTTATCCAGTTTTTTAAGAGCACGAGTATTGCCAGGTTCTAATAGAAATGTGCCATAATCTAATAGACTGCGTATCAAGGCGTTATAAATTAATTTAAGAGACTGGGAATGAGCGCCCCACCAAACTCCGGAGAGGCATCGAAGAATGTTTAAAAGACGTTCAGTTCTGCCAACAATATAATTGCAATGCGCCACACCAGTGAGTTTTGTGTCTAAAAATACCCCTAAAAATTTTTTCTCAGGTTCAACCGGAATATTTACTTCATTATAAGAAATATTGAGAGGAGGAAGAATTCTTTTTCGTGAAAAAACCACTATTGAACTTTTCGTAGCTGATACTTCTAATCCATTAGTATCCATCCACTGTTTCAACGAACTTAGGGCAGTAGAGATATTTTCTGAAGCTATTTCAATAGAATGGTTTGTGGAATAAATTAATAGATCATCGGCGTATTGAAGAAGTTTAATATTGTTTTCAAATACATAGTCAATGTCATAAGTGTAAATATTGTACAATAATGGGCTAAGAACGGAACCCTGCGGTAAACCTCGCCATACTGTTCTTTGTATCTCTATGTCAGAAGACACACAAATTGTAAGATAGCGTTCTTTTAAAATGTTTAAAATAAAAAAACATAAAATAGGTGGAACGTGTAAAGACTCTAATTTACATTTCAAAACAGATAATAAAACATTATCGTATGCCGATTTTATATCCAAAAATGCTGCTACCACCGATTTGTTGAACGAAAACGCAAGTCGTATATCTGTTGTGAATATACTCAAACTATCAATAGTGCTCTTTCCTTTCCTAAAACCATATTGGGTTTTTGACAACAGGTTTTGACTTTCCACAAACCATTCTAGGCGATTCTTAATGAGTATTTCAGCTAATTTAATCAATACAGATGACAACACTATGGGTCGGTATGAAGGAGGATCAATTAAAGATTTATTGGGTTTAGGAATGGGCAACACTACTTGTGACCTCCAAGATAAGGGGATATTGCCTGATAACATTGTTGTATTGATAAGTTTCAAATAATAGTTTAATATGTTCTCACTAAGATTAGAAAAGAAAGAGTAAGGTATGCCATCGCCCCCTGGAGCGGAATCTTTAGTATTAAGAACTGCGGCTTTAAGTTCAGGTAGTGAAAAAAGACAATTCAAGCCAGAGAGGTTATGTGAAGAAATGTGATCATTCTTGATAGAAAGAGGAACCCATGGTGGAGCAAGTTTTTTTAAAAAATCGTCAGCTTCAGTTGGGGTAACAGAGGTGGAGCTGGGAATAAAAGCGGATCTAAACCTTTTGATATTTTGCCAAACTACAGTAGGGTGTGTATTAGGAGAAATAGAACTACAGAAATTACGCCAGCTTTCAAATTTCTTCCGTTTAAATAATTTCTTAGTTTCCAATATAATTTTACATAGAGTATCATAATTACAGGTTGTCATATTATAACGATATTTTTTTTCTGCTTCCTTTCTCTTCTTAATAGCTATATAACAGTCACTGTCCCACCATGGGGGGGAAGGTATCTTAGTAGAACTACGTTTTTTCATTGGGAACACTTCTGCAGCAGCTTCACTCAATATATGCGACAAAGCATTAGCACAGTCATAAACTCAAATTTGACATTTTCATTTTTGTTTTGTTTATGGTTTATTTTCCTGTTTTTGTCTATGCTATATTATTTTGCGGGACAATTCCTAATAGCCTGATACAAATACGAGAAAAACGGAAATAATTCAATATAAGCCTGGAATATTTTTAATCGAATTTGTGAGCCAATTACAAGATACTTTATTTAAGAATCCAACTCATTGTATTGTAGCTACGGAAGGTATAAAAAAACATCAAGTCAAAAAAACCTTCATTTGCTTCACGCAAAATTACTAACACGACTATTTTCACAAATTTTGGTTTTATTTATCATAGCAACAATGAAAATTACTGAAATCCAACTAGAAAATTTACAAGAAATAGTGATTTTTATTAAACTTTATTTTTTACATTTTTTTTGTAATAGTTTAATATGATAAAACTTTATTTAAAGTATTTCTGAGTGGATTTTAGTAGTGTTTAACTCAAAAGTCTTCTGCATATATTGCGTGGAATATATGCAGAAGACTTTTGACCATGGAAATTTTATTGGATTCAATACAAAATATACTTAACGCAATATAGTAATATCGATTGAAGTCGTATTTCATTGTTAATATTATTGATTTTTATACAAATATTTTTTTAAATATTCATGTTTTTATAAAAATATGAGTTTCCAAATATAATATTAGGAAAATTTATGTATTTCATGGAAGTAACAGCGTGAAAATACGTAGAAGTCACTTTATATGTATTTTGCTTATCATGCCATTGAGAAATTAAAGGGTTTTTTTTTACTAATAATCCGAAAGAAAATGTCGATGGATTAATTCATATAATAAAAAGGAAATATAATGATACCTCATATATTGACAGCAAGTGGCCAATATACGAGTGGAAGAGCAAATGTCTTCTTTCGTTGAGGTAGAAAGATGTGTACGACAAGGCTATATTCTTTCGCCCTTACTGTTCAATATGTATGCCGAAACTATTCTCTCGAAGATATTAAAAAATCTAACCGAAGGAATAGTTGTTAATGGCAAAGTCATAAATAATATCTGCTATGCAAATGACGCTACTTTGATGGCAGACAGTATGATGGGCTTACAAACGCTTCTCGATGGTGTATACAAGCTAATGAAAAATACGGTATCAACATCAACTGTAAGAAAACAAAGTACATGATCGTGGGTCGTACACTGGATCCTACAGCTACTTTGACTATAAAGGGAAACATCATTGAGCGTGTCAGTTTCTATACGAGTAAATATCTTGGTGCTATGGTGAATGTTACCGGTGACCATGGAAATTAAAGCCAGAATAGAACAAGCACGTAATGCTTCCCGGAAAATGGAAAAGTTCTCTGCAGTCGTAGGTTAAACCTCAAATTGTGCACAAGAATTGTACGACGTTTCAGTATTCCTTTACGCAGCTGAAACTATGACTCTCACAGAAACGATGAGTTAAAAAGTTAAGGCGTTTGAGATGTGGGTGAACAGGAGAATATTGAAGATCTCGTGGACGTATAATATACGAAATGTTATAAACTTTTTGCTTGCAGACGGGCTGGTCTTGTGAAAGACAACTAATAGGCAAGGATGAGACTGACAACAGATGACAGTTAGACTTAATATCAATAACGTCTTAAAAATATATATATTATTTTCTTTATTTAGTGTTCTTTTTTTGTTACAAAGTGGTCCCTCGAACATTCGTGAATCAGACCTATGGAAAAATGTTGACAAGGAGCAAGAGTGCCCAGATGGTTGACAAAATCACGGACATACCAAAAAAAGTACCATCAGTGGCACCATCAGAGACATCGATAAAACTGACAAGACGACAACGCGTCCTAGAGGCGAAACAGAGAACCGCGGAAAAATTGGCTGAAGTAGAACGACGCCTCATCGAACATCAAACTACGTTAGAGCTCGAAGCTCTAGAATATGACGACGATTGCAACAACAGACGGTCTGAGTGCTCCTTACACAGCCGCCCTAAAACACAACCATCAAACACCTTCATTCACATGGACACAAATTATGTCACAGCAAGAAATTGTGAGCAACAAACAATGCCCTCAAACTTTCCCTCTGGTGCATCGGCTAGTGCTAATGTACAAATGAGCAAATTTTTAGCCAGACAAACCACCGAGAAGGATCTACCTTGTTTTTCGGGAGCTCCAGAGGAATGGCCATTATTCTTTAGCCAATTAAAAATCACCACTCAATTATGTGACTATAGTGACCAAGAAAATATTGCGCGATTGATGAAGTGCCTGCGAGGAGAAGCTCGTGATTCTGTATACGCTCTATTGGCAAGTGCTTCAAATTTTGATAAAATTATAGACACTTTAAAACTTAGATTTGGACGACCAGACATCATAATCGATAGCATGTTGTTAAAGATTCGATCTCAGCAAGACATGCGACACGATGATATGACACATCTCGTGA